GAAAGGTCTTCCTTTACCTTGATTCCCCTTCAATGGCGCCGCGGTTCGCGCTGCGGCCGCGCACCGCGCTGATCCGATGGCAGGAGCCAGGAGCCAGGTGCTTTTCCTGGTCTCCCATGGGGTGCAGGGCCCAAGCACCTGGGCCATCCTCCACTGCACTCCCTGGCCACAGCAGAGAGCTGGCCTGGAAGAGGGGCAACCAGGACAGAATCCGGCGCCCCGACCAGGACTAGAACCCGGTGTGCCGGCGCCGCTAGGCGGAGGATTAGCCTAGTGAGCCGCGGCGCCGGCCTAAATAAAATAAATCTTTTAAAAAAAACTTATGTTTATCCTGCTACTGTAAGCAAGTGGAACCCCTAAGTAAGTGATAACTCTCTGTTTTTCCTTATTAGGTTTCAACTTTCTGTGCTGTGGGGTCAACCGTAAGAGAGGTAGATCTGATGTGTTTTTGTGCTGAAGAAGCATGAGCTCCTCGCAGTAACTAGCAGCCAGCGCCTCTTCCCCATAACACTTGCACTGGCAGTGCTGTCTTCTGAGGAGGCTGTGGATGTCTTGCAAGCATTATTTGACTGTATCTCCCAAATCCCTCTTCCCTCTCTAGGAAAGATGCTATCTTAATATTGAAGTATCTTCTCTAATATTGAAATACCTTTTCTCATCCTTCCACAGTATAATATAAATCAGTTTTGTCTCCCTTGAAATTGCCCTGTAACTTCAGCTTTGTTTCACTAAAGCTAGTCTTAGCTCTTCCTTTTCCCTTTCTGTTGTACCTCTTATTTTCCCTGACCTTTCCCATCCTGTAGGTGAGATTCTATAATTCAGAGTAATAATTGCTTATATTTATAGAACATTTACTATATGTTAAGTCTATACATGACTTAATTCTGGTAATCCTATAGAGGTACATATTATTTCCATATTTTATAGATATGGTAACCAAGACCCAGAGAAATTTTAACCAACCTACCCAAGGTTGTAACTTAGGTGTTCCAATTACAGAGCCCACAATCCGAACCACTGTGCTGTGTCTGTTCCCTTCACTAATCTGAAAGTTTGTATGTGAACTAACTTGACTTTAAACCAGATTAAATATTTGTTGCTGAATGGAAACTGAACCAGAAGTCCTTGGTAAAGGAGAGAAGAATATGGAAGGAAATTTGCCTTTCTGGTATTAGCCCTTCTAAAAAAGCAATGAGCAAAGTGTGAAATTTCTAATCATTCTTTTAGAAACTATCTTAGAAATTAATGTGAACTTTTGCCAATCACTAATAGCCCAAGCATAGTGCTTTGGCTTTTTAATCAGAATTCATGGTCCCCATATACCAAAAAGAGATAAATGGAGCATTTTTTTTTCCTATTAAAATTGTTCATGTCTTACTACAAAGACAAGATGGTACTTATTGCTGCCAGTGAGGACCTTAACACCTATAAAACTGGGAAACTGCTCTTTGAAGTATGAGATTTTAAAAGACAATTTTTGCTTCTCTGGAATACCGGCATTTCCTGATTCAGAATAACAATAATCTCATCAAAAGAAATGAAAGCTATGTTCTATTTTTGCCAGGGACACTGATGACCGTTGCTAGAGGAAGGGAATGTTGTTACTCTTCATTTCATTGAGAGGAACTGAAGAGGGAAAATTGGGTTCTTAATCCTTTATCAATGAAAATGAAAGGCTTCCTTTTCCCAAAGGAAGAAAATATGTATTGTCCGTTAGCAGATCTGAAATTTATTTAGTTTTAGAGTGTTCTAGTTTGAGTTTTCTTGTCCTGGCGTCACTCTAGGTGGTCAGAAATTTTTGAAAACAACAATGATTTAGAAGAAAGAATTGAGCTAAAGGTTAAGAATGCAGCTTCCAGTTCTGGTTCTGTCACTGTCTTTGTTGTGTGATGTTTGAGCATGTCCTTTAACCTCTCTGTCCCTCTGTTCTCTTATTTATTAAAAAAGAGAATAGGAAGAAAAAGAAAAAAATTACACTAAAAATTTCAGGCTCTTGCGGAATTTTTCTCCCAATATGAATGGTTATTGATTTGTTAGCATGAAAAGTCAAGTAGCTTCATTATTGGCTGAATGAACTAAGTTCTCTACATGGTCTGTTTAAAAATCCTGTTTCAATAACGCTGTAGAATTCAGCAAGACTGAGCAGTGCCCTGGCCAGAATTTTTGAAATTTCCCAAAGTACACATATGCTTAGGCTCTCCTAGGTATTCTTTTTTTTTTTTTTTTTTAAAGGTTTATTTATTTGAAAGGCAGAGTTACAGAGAGGCAGAGGCAGAAAGAGGTCTTCCATCCACTGGTTCATTCACAAAATGGCTGCAATGGCTGGAGCTTGGCTGATCTGAAGCCAGGAGCTTCTTCTAGGTCTCCCACATGGTGCAAGAGTCCAAGGACTTGGGCCATCTTCCACTGCTTTCCCAGGCCATAGCAGAGAGCTGGATCAGAAATGGAGCAGCTGGGACTCGAACTGGTGCCCATATGGGATGCCAGCACTGCAGGCGGTGACTTTACCCACTACACCATGGCACTGGGCCCCCTCCTTAACTTTTTATTATAAAATTTGTCAGGGATTGGCATTGTGGTGTAGCCGGTTAAGTTGCCACTTGTGATGCCAGCCTCCCGAATGGGCACTGGTTTGAGTCCTTGCTGCTCCATTTCTGACCCAGATTTCTGCTAATGTGCCTGGGAAAGCAGTGGAAGATGGGCCAAATCTCTGAGCCCCTGTACCCACATGGGAGGCCTGAAGGAAGCTTCTGGCTCCTGACTTCAGTGTGGCCTAGACTTAGCCATTGTGGACATTTGGGGCGTGAACCAGAGGATGGAAGATCTCTCTGTCTCTCTCTCTCTCTCTCCCTGTAGCTCTGCCTTTCAAATAAAATAAATGAATCTTTAAAAAATTTTTTCTCAGACGTATACAAGGTAATCTAGAGAATAGTTTAATGAGCTGCCATGTACTCATCACCTAGCTTCAGTAGCAATATTTTGCCAATCATTGCATCTGTATTTCACCCATTCTCCTTCATCCATTCCCTGAAATATTTTAAAGCAAGTCCAGGTCTCATGTAATTTCATCCATAAGTATTTCAAAATGTATTTCTACAGATATGAGTATTTGGGGTGTGGAAGTTAAAGGTTGTAACATGACCACAGCAGCATTGTTATAGTTAAAAAATTAACCATTGCTCTTTCAAGGTTCCTGTCTCAGAAATGTCTTGTTACAGTTTTTTCTTTCTTTCTTTTCTTTTCTTTCTTTTTTTTTTTTTTATATTTTTCTTAGAGAAAGGTCTTCCTTCCGTTGGTTCACCCCAAAATGGCCGCTATGGCCGGCGCACTGCGCCAATCCAAAGCCAGGATTCAGGTGCTTCCTCCTGGTCTCCCATGCGGGTGCAGGGCCCAAACACTTGGGCCATCCTCCACTGTACTCCCTGGCCACAGCCGAGAGCTGGACTGAAAGAGCAGCAACCGGGACTAGTACCTGGCACCCCAACCGGGACTAGAACCCGGGGTGCCGGTGCTGCAGACGGAGGATTAGCCTAGTGAGCCGCGGCACCGGCCTACAGTTTTTTCTAATCAGCATTTAGATGAGACTCACACACAATATTTGGTAGATACGTTACTTATGTCCTTAATTAAAATAATTCCCACTGTCTGTAATTTCAATTTTAAGGCCAAGTAAGGTATGTTTTTCAGCTTTTAAAGAATTATACAGGTTTTTTTGTTTTTGTTTTTTTGTTTTTTTTGACAGGCAGAGTGGACAGTGAGTGAGAGAGACAGAGAGAAAGGTCTTCCTTTTGCCGTTGGTTCACCCTCCAATGGCCGCTGCGGCCGGCGTGCTGCAGCCAGCGCACCGTGCTGATCCGATGGCAGGAGCCAGGTACTTATCCTGGTCTCCCGTGGGGTGCAGGGCCCAAGCACTTGGGCCATCCTCCACTGCACTCCCTGGCCACAGCAGAGAGCTGGCCTGGAAGAGGGGCAACCGGGACAGAATCCGGCGCCCCGACCGGGACTAGAACCCGGTGTGCTGGCACCGCAAGGCAGAGGATTAGCCTAGTGAGCCGTGGCGCCGGCCCAGGTTGTTATTATATACAAGAGGTCATGGGGAAAAGTAACCTTTTTAAAATGGTATCAGCATTGTAGTGTTATAGTCAGTGTCCAGGAGAAACAGAAGAGTGTGGAGATGGCCTGAATGATACAGAGATAAAAAATGTAATTCAACAGTGATAAGTATTAAAATTGAGCCAGTGGGGCAGGCATTGTGGTATAGAAAGGTAAGTTTCTGGTTGGGACACCTGCATGACATATCCCATATCAGAGTCCCAGCTGTAGTCCTGACTACTCCATACTTCCAATCCAGCTTCCTGCTAATGAGCCTGGAGGCAGTGGATGATGGCCCAAGTACTTGGGTTCCTGCCGCCCTAGTGGGAGACCAGGATGGAATTTCTGGCTCCTGGCTTCAGTATGGCCCAGCCCTGGCTGTTAAAGGCATTTGGCAAATGGGTGGCACATAATTTCTCTTTATCTCTCTTTCTCTGTCATTCTGCCTTTCAAATAACTAAAAATATTTTAAAAATTGAGCCAGTGAGGAGAAACTGGGCTAAGACCATTTATAGCCAACTGTCAGCTTCTATACCCACCTTTGGGTATTGTGTACATGCCACATTTCCAAGTATTGACTGATGATAATGTAGTCATCTGAACAGTGATTATTCAGATTTTTTAAAAAATATTTTATTTATTTGAGAGGTAGAGTTACAGACACTGAGAGGGAAAGACAGAGAGAAGGGTGTTCCTTCTGTTGGTTCACTCCCCAAATGGCCAGCAACGGCCAGAGCTGCATCAATCTGAAGCCAGGAGTCAGGTGCTTCTTCTGGGTCTCTCATATGGGTGCAGGGGCCCAAGGACTTGGGCCATCTTCTGCTTTCCCAGTCCACAGCAGAGAGCTGGATTGGAAGAGGGGCAGCCAGGACTAGAAACGGCGCCCATATTGGATGCTGGTGCTCATATGGGATGCCAGCACCACAGGCGGAGGATTAACCTGCATCACAGCGCCAGCCTCCATTCAGAATTTTGATGTAGATGGGGAGAGGCAGGGCCCAAATCCTTAGAAAAAGTTCTTCCTAGGGAAGAATAAATTTTAATGTTAGAAGAACTGTGCCCCCATAGTCAGTTTCTTCATCAGAAATTATAATTACATATTTATTTTAAGATGATAGATCTATATTTAGAGTACTTTGCACAAAGGTGGTAAAAAACAAATTTTCTCTTGATCAATATTCTGATTTTATCCATAGGGATGAATCATATTCTTAAAAATTTTACGGCTGGTGTTGCCATGCTGAGTGGGGTTAAACCCCTTTTTCTTTCTCTTTTTCATTTGTTCTCTCTCAGCGCCTAAGTGTCTTCCTGTACTTATCGAAGAGAAAGCTTATTTATGCAGTGTTCATGACTCTGAGTTTCACAGATTTCCTCAATAGATAATTTCTCTTTGGCAGATCCTTAGCAGGTGGTATCTGGTTCCCTGTACTTTCTGTTTGCCCTTTGTTGGGTTTTTGGATAAACGCTGTTAACAGTGTCATTGGTAAAACTCTAGGTATTTTTCTCTTCTTTTATACTTTTTGGTAGATTAGATCTCTTAGGTATGTCCTGGTGGCTGTACTTTAGGCACTTTAAGCCTCACCCATGTCACTTTGTCTGAGTTTTATTATTTACATGCCGTATCTTTCTTTTGCTTCAGATTTAATGCTCTTGGGATGGGATTAATTCCAGTTTTGCAATTGCAGATAGCTAAAGAGTTGGCAACAAAATTTCTACTGAGTGGAGTCTTCCTGTCCTCATTTTGAATACTTTGCAAGAGTGTAGCAGCCCTGGAGCTACATGTCTGTATGATAAAACTAGAAGAGATAGCATAGGTAGAACTTTATTTTATTTTATTTATTTGAAAGAGTTACACAGAGAGGAGAGGCAGAGAGAGAGATCTTCCATCCTCTGGTTCACTTCTCAGATGGCCACAATGGCCGGAGCTGTGCCATTCCGAAGCCAGGAGCTTCTTGTGGGCCTCCCACGTGGGTGCAGGGGCCCAAGCACTTGGGCCATCTTCTACTGCTTTCCCAGGCCACAGCAGAGAGCTGGATCAGAAGCAGAGCAGTGAGACATGAACCGATGCCCATAAGGGATGCCAGCACTGCAGCACCGGCCCCCAGCAGAGAGTTTTGTGAGGAGCCAAGTACTTTGAGATGCAAAATAGAATTTACTGCTGGTCTAGGTGATCAATCACTGAACCTTGCTAGGGGCCCAGTTTTTTTCTTGCATTTGAAATCATATATGTGATTAAGCTTATTTAATGTAATCGTTACATAAGCATTTTAAAATAAACTTATTTTAGTTAGAGAACAGTTTGACATAACATATGGGCCCAGGTCTTTTGATATTTTTTGTTTTTTGAAAGGCAAAGCAACACAAAAGGAGAGACATTCACATCTTCTGGACTGAAGCTGGGAGCCAGGAACTCTATCCTGGTCTCCTAGGTGGGTGGCAGCGGCCTAAGTACTTGGACCATCCTCTTCTGCCTTCCTAGGCACATTAGCAGTAAGCTGGATTAGAAGAGAAGTAGCCAGGACTCAAACCAGCACTCCGATATAGGACACAGGTGTCACAGTAGTAGTTTAACTCTGCCACAATGCCAGCACCCAGCTCTTCTGAATTTTAAATAGCTTAGTATCTTTTTTTTTTTTTTTACAGGCAGAGTGGACAGTGAGAGAGAGAGAAACAGAGAGAAAGGTCTTCCTTTGCCGTTGGTTCACCCTCCAGTGGCCGCCGCGGCTTAGTATCTTTTTAAAGGATATGTGACAACTTTGCTACTCTCAGATGGGACATATCTGAGCATAGAGCTATCCTACCTCCAGGAGTGGCCTACGCCAGGCACTTGATTCTGCCTGTGGTGTGGTCCATATCCAAGCCTCCATTGCACAGGAGAGTGTCCAGGGACTCTAGACATCCAAACTGTGGGAGCTCAGATTTTAGGTCCTGTGTGACCTGTTCTGAGAATGGGGGAAATTCAGTACTTTGACCCAGCCAAAAAGTTTTAAGATAGAAGAGATTTGACTTTTTGACAGTGGACACTTTAAATTCTGCAGTAAGCCATCAGCACTTTTAGTAATAAATGAATTTGCCTGACTTACTGTTCCTTTAAAACTTCAGCCCTAACTTGTTTAGTCTTTAACCCAGCTGAAGCTCTCCTGATTGAATAAATCATCCTAGGAAGGGTGTTACATCATGGGCTCTGCTGCAGAGAAGTAGCGGTAAAAATTGATCTGTTTTTCTAATTTTCTCGGTCATTTTGTGCAACATATCTTCATAACAGCTAGATGACATTTCTCTTGTCTTCATTTTTGGGAAAAGGAATGAAAACCATCTGTTCTCCATTTTTTTCTCCACCCTGACTCATTACCAGGAAGGAAATTTTGCTACTCTGCTTATTGGTACCATAAATGCTTAGTCTGTAACCTTTCTACTAAGAGCTATCACAGCCTCTGAGCCTAGCTGTATTTTGAAATTCAAGAGGTTATTGGTTGTTTTTGTCTTAAACAGTTACACTTAGAACTTTGTCTGGTCATTAATCCCTTGTGTTTCTATTGCTGCCTCACTGTTAATCCTTTTTTTTTTTTTTTAAGATTTATTTTATTTATTTGAAAGAGTTACAGAGAGAGGTGGAGACAGAGAGGTCTTCCATCCGCTGATTCATTCTCCAGATGGCCGCAACGGCCAGAGCTGAGTCTATCTGAAGCCAGGAGCCAGGAGCTTCTTGTGGGCCTCCCACGTGGGTGCAGGGGCCCAAGCACCTGGGCCATCTTCTACTGCTTTCCCAGGCCATAGCAGAGAGCTGGATCAGAAGAGGAGCAGCTAGAACTAGAATTGGCGCCCATATGGGATGCCGGCGCTTCAGGCCAGGCTTTAGCCCGCTGTGCCACAGTGCCGGCCCCATTGTTAATCCTTTAAAATATTTTTTATTTATTTGAAAGTTACAGTGATAAAGGGAGAGACAGAAGAGAGAGATTCCATCCATTGGTTCACTTCCCAAATGGCCACAACAGCCAGGGTTGGGCCAGGCTGAAGCCAGTAGTCTCCCACATGGGTGTAGGGGCCCAAGCACTTGAGCCATCCTCTGCTGCTTTCCCAGGCACATTAGCAGAGAGTTGGATTGGAAGTGGAATAGCCAGGACTTGAACCAGCATCCATATGGGATGTTGGTGCTGCAGATAGCAGCTTAACCTCTGTGAATTGGGTTCTTCCTACTCATTGTTTTATTCTTTCATTTTATCTGAAAGAGAAAGCTGTGGAACAGATCTTCCATTTGCTGGTTCACTCCCCAAACGGCTGCAGTGGCCAGGCCAAAGCCACTAGAAGCATAGAACTCTATCCCAGGTCTCCTATGTAGGTGGCAAAGACCCAAGTCCCTGGATTCCTCTTTTTAATTTTTAAAAATATTTTGCTTATTTATTTTGAGAGGTAAAGTTACAGACAGAGGGAGAGACAGAGAAAGAGATCTTCCATCCACTGGTTCACTCCCCAAATGTCCACAATGACTAGAGCTGAGCCAAAGTGAAGAGCCAGGAGCTTTATCTGGTCTCCCACGTGGGCAAGGGCCCAAGGAGTTGGACCGTCTTCCACTTTCTCAGACACATGAGCAGGGAGCTAGATCAGCAGTGGAGCAGCTAGGACATGAACCGGTGCCCATGTGGGTTGCTGGCGTCTCAGGCGGTAGCTTTACCTGCTACGCCTCAGTGCCAGCCCTAGATGTGGTCACTTTTTAAATACACATGTTCTTGAAGTTTTACATAAGTTTAAGTAAATAAAAAGTCATAAGTAATACTTGTGAAATTTAAGCAAAACCAAATTATATAATGGCACTGAACAAATACTTGATATATTTGATTTTTTTTTAAGGTTTATTTATTTGAGAAGGTAGAGGCTTTATGCGCTATGCCACAGTGGTGGCCCTGCCCTTTCTCTTTTAATCATGGTAATGATCAGTGAGCCCCTTTACTCAGATGGGTAAACATATTAAGAAGTTATGTTTTGGGGCCGGCGCCGTGGCACAGTAGGTTAATCCTCCACCTGTGGTGCTGGCATCCCATATGGGTATCCGGTTAGTGTCCCGGCTGCTCCTCTTCCAATCCAGCTCTCTGCTATGGCCTGGGAAAGCAGTAGAAGATGGCCCAGGTGCTTGGGCCCCTGCACCCGCGTGGGAATACTGGGAAGAAGCTCCTGGCTCCTGGCTTCGGATCGGCACAGCTCTGGCCATTGCGGACCAACAGACGGAAACCTTTCTCTGTTTCTTCCTCTCACTATAATTCTACCTCTCAAATAAATAAAATATTTTTTAAAAAAGTTATGTTTCTCAGAGAAGATAGGAGCACTTGGGTGGAAAAAGGGGGCTAGAGAAAGAATGGAGTTCACATAAGGCCTCTGTGAGTGTAGAGGAGGAGGAGGAAGGGACACACACAATCGTATTCAGAAGGGTCTGGTATTCCTGAGCAAGAGGCAGGAGCTCTTGGTCACGTTTAGTTTGACTCGAGTTTGATTCTTCCAGTGTGTTTGGTACAAAGTGTGTGAGTGTATATTTACTTACAGTTTTATTTTGTGTTTTTTTTTGTTTGCCTTTAGCAGCAGCAACTGGAATTAAGAAACCTATGGCGTCTGAGGTGAGTTTCATATTAATATAGTAGTTACTGAAAGTTTAGTTCTGTGATAGAATACTTGTTTATAATGTCTTGGTTATCTGCCTACTTAGGTCATGGAAAGCTAAAAGTGTTTTACCTTGTTGATAGCCAAGGAATCATCAAACTCTAGTTTTGCTGTGGTTTCTTTTAATTAGTATCTCATACTTATTGATAATTTATTATTTTTATTTATTTATTTGAAAGGCAGAGTTACAGAGAGAGGGAGAAAAGACAGAGGTCTTCCATCATCTGGTTCACTCCCCAGATGGCTGCAGCATCCAATGCTGGGCCATCCTTTGCTGCTTTTCCATATGCATTAGCAGTGAGCTGGATCAGAAGTGCAGCAGCTGAGTCTTAATCTGTCCCATATGGGATACTGGCATTACAGTCAGTGGCTTAACTCCTTACACCACAATGCCAGCCCTGAGAACTTACTTTATTTTAAAAAAAAATTTAGCATGATCTAGCCACTGGCAAATCAAATAATTCTATACCCCAAGAATTGAAAGGCTCAGATAATAAGATGACTTCTCTGAGATGGTGCCTTTTAACAGATTCCTGAGAACACGATATGTCTGTTTTCCACCCGCAAAACAGACCCTGAAATAAGGACATAGTAAGACCAGTAGAGCAGAATCTATAAGGTTATTCCCAAGAGTCAAGATGGCACCACCATAGGCACTCTTCATGATGATAACTATCGTTAAATGAAGAAGCTAGGCAAAATAACTAGTAGAAACAGGATGTCACAATCTTTAAACTTGATATTCAAGTTCTGCCTTTGTATGCCAGGAGGGTCAGCATTCTGAAACCCTTGACACAAAATGCAGGAGAGAGGCAAGAAGTGAGAGGAGGGTTGAGAAATACTCTATAGGAAGACAGTTAAGCAAACTGAAGATAATTTGCTTAGAAAAAGAGGAATTTGGAAAATTAGCAGAGACAGCAAAACAATGAGCTTTAATGTCAGATTGCCTAGATTTGAATCCCACCTTTATTTCACTAATTATATGACACTGAACAAGTTAGACCTCTAATCCTCATTTTCTTTATATGTAAAATATGAATTAACATTTTCATATGTTTCATATGTGAATTCAGTTTAAGCAAAAGCATTGAGGTTGGGTTGAGAATTAGAGGAGCAGTAATTTCTGAAAGAAAGCAAGTAAAAAAAGAAGGGGTCTTTGAAACTTAACTTTTAGCCTGGCCTGTTTTTTGTGAACCTCTTTCTGAGGCTACAGAATTCCCTGTGTCCCATTTTTACTTTACTTCAATGATTCTCATTTTTATTTCCTATGTTATCTTTTGGGAGTCTAAAGGAGAAATATATATCCTTCTGATTTTCTTTGGTGATCTTATAGCCAATTAATTGATTGAAGGAGTAGACTATATGTGTTTACATGGGATGGATCTTCTGAGGATTTTTTTTTTTTGACAGGCAGAGTGGACAGTGAGAGAGAGAGACAGAGAGAAAGGTCTTCCTTTGCCGTTGGTTCACCCTCCAATGGCCGCCGTGGCTGGTGCGCTGCGGCCGGCGCACCGCGCTGATCCGATGGCAGGAGCCAGGAGCCAGGTGCTTTTCCTGGTCTCCCATGGGGTGCAGGGCCCAAGCACCTGGGCCATCCTCCACTGCACTCCCTGGCCACAGCAGAGGGCTGGCCTGGAAGAGGGGCAACCAGGACAGAATCCGGCGCCCCGACCGGGACTAGAACCTGGTGTGCCGGCGCCGCTAGGCGGAGGATTAGCCTAGTGAGCCGCGGCACCGGCTTCTTCTGAGGATTTTATAAATTTTTTTTTAGATTTATTTATTTGAAAGGCAGAGTTAGAGAGAAAGAGGGAAGGAAGGAGATACCCCCTCTACCATCACTTCTCAAATGGTCACAATGGCCAGACTGAAGCCAGGAGCAAGGAACTTATCCAGGCCTCCCACATGGGTGGCAGGGGCCCAGCTACTTGGGCCGTCTTCTATTGCCTTTCCAGATAGCATTAGCAGGGAGATAGATTGGAAGTAGAACAGCTGGGGCTTGAACAGAGCGCTCATGCAATTCCAGTGTTGCAGGTGGTAGCTTAAGCCACTGTATCTCTGTACCAGCTCCTTTATAAATTTTTTTAATCTAGAAAGACTATATTGAATGTTTTGGTTTTATATACCACATAATAAATGCTTGGTATTACATGACAATCCTATACCTAGTAACCTTGACTTTTTACTTGTAGGTGCCTTATGCATCTGGCATGACCATCAAGAAAATAGGCCACCGAAGTGTTGATTCCTCAGGAGAGACCACATATAAAAAGGTGTGTATGAGTTGAACCCTCCCAATTTATTCCAGGAATTCAGCAGGGGCAACCGTACTCTTTATGTTACTCTCTGCAGCTGTCTCATTTCTTTTTTTATTTTTTATTTTTTATTTTTTTTTATTTTTTATTTATTTATTTATTTTTTTTGACAGGCAGAGTGGACAGTGAGAGAGAGAGACAGAGAGAAAGGTCTTCCTTTGCCGTTGGTTCACCCTCCAATGGCCGCCACGGCCGGCGTGCTGCGGCCGGCGCACCACGCTGATCCGATGGCAGGAGCCAGGAGCCAGGTGCTTTTCCTGGTCTCCCATGGGGTGCAGGGCCCAAGCACCTGGGCCATCCTCCACTGCACTCCCTGGCTGGCCTGGAAGAGGGGCAACCGGGACAGAATCCGGCACCCCGACCGGGACTAGAACCCCGTGTGCTGGCGCCGCAAGGCGGAGGATTAGCCTAGTGAGCCGCGGCGCCGGCCGCTGTCTCATTTCTTGATGACCTAGGCCTTTGTGCAATTAGCCATCATGCAACTTGGACTTGAGAATTCATTTTGGGGCTGGGGCTGTGGCACAGCCTGTAGGGCTGGCATCCCATATGGGCTCCAGTTTGAGTCCTGGCTACTCTGCTTCCAATCCTGTTCTCTGCTATGGCCCGAGAGAGTAGTAGAAGATGGCCCAATGCCTTGGGCCCCTGTGCCCATGAAGGAGACCCAGAAGTAGCTACTGGCTCCTGGCTTCAGATTGGCCTATGGCCGCTGTGGCCATTTGGGAAGTGAAGCAGCGAATCGAAGACTTCTCTCTCTCTCTCTCTTTCTCTGCCTCTCTGTAACTCTCTTTGAAATAAATAAATAAATCTTTAAAAACAAAAAAGGAGGCCGGCGCTGTGGCTCAATAGGCTAATCCTCCACCTGCAGCGCCGGCATACCGGGTTCTAGTCCCGGTTGCTCCTCTTCCAGTCCCGCTCTCTGCTGTGGCCCGGGAAGGCAGTGGAGGATGGCCCAAGTCGTTGGGCCCTGCACCCGCATGGGAGACCAGAAGCACCTGGCTCCTGCTTCGGATCAGTGCAGTGCACCGCCCGCAGCGGCCATTGGGGGGTGAACCAATGGAAAAGGAAGACCTTTCTCTCTGTCTCTCTCTCACTGTTCACTCTTGCCTGTAAAACAAAAAAAAAAAAAAAAAACAAAAAAGGAATTCACTTTATAGGGCCAGTGCTATGAGTAAAGCCACTGCCTGCAGCATCAGCATCCCATATGGGTGCCGTTTCAAGTCCCAGCTGCTCCACTTCCTATCCAGCTCCCTCCCCCCCCCCCTTTTTTTTTTTAATAGATTTGTTTGAAAGGTAGAGTTACAGAGGAGCAGAGGCAGAGAGAGAGAGAGAGAACTCTTCAATCCTCTCATTCACTCCCTAAATAGCTGCAACGGCCAGAGCTGGGCCCATCCTAAGCTAGGAGCCAGGAGCTTCTTCTGGATCTCCCACACAGATGGCAGGGGCCCAAGGGCTTGGGCCATCTTCTGCTGCTTTCCCAGGCCAAAGCAGAGATCTGGATCAGAAGTGGAGAAGCTAGGACTAGAATCGGCACCCATATGGGATGCTGGCACTGCTATGCCACAGTGCCGGTCCCTCCAGCTCCTAACAAGAACTTCTAATGTGCCTGGGAAAGCAACAAAGGATGACTCAAGTCTGCAAGCCCTGCACCCACATGGGAGACCTGGCTGAAGCTCCTGGCTCCTGGCTTTGGCCTGGCCTAGCCCTGGCTGTTGTGGCTATTTGGGGAGTGTACCAGCAGGTGGAAGATTTTTCTCTCTCTCTCTTTCTCCCCTGCCCCTCCTATAACTCTACTTTTACATAAATATATATATGTGTATATATATATATATATTTTTTTTTTTTGACATGCAGAGTGGACAGTGAGAGAGAGAGAGACAGAGAGAAAGGTCTTCCTTTTGCTGTTGGTTCACCCTCCAATGGCCGGCGTGCTGTGGCCGGCTCACCACACTGATCCAAAGGCAGGGGCCAGTTGCTTATCCTGGTCTCCCATGGGGTGCAGGGCCCAAGCACTTGGGCCATCCTCCACTGCACTCCCAGGCCATAGCAGAGAGCTGGCCTGGAAGAGGGGCAACCGGGACTAGAACCTGGTGTGCCGGTACCTCTAGGTGGAGGATTAGCCTAGTGAGCCGCGGCACCGGCTATAAATATTTTTTAAAAATTTATTTTACAGCAGTCAGTTGTCTCCTGTCACATAAATGTTTTTTAAATAAGAATGCCCTTAATTTTTTTGAAGATTTATTTATTTATTTGAAAGGCAGAGTTAGAGAGGGATAGGTCTTCCATCTGCTGGTTCCCTCCCCAAATCCCCAAATGGCTACAACAGCCAAGACTGAGCCATGCCAAAGCCAAGAACTCCATCCGGGTCTCCCATGTGGGTGGCAGGGCCAAAGCACTTGGGGCATCTTCCACTGTTCCCCCAGATGCATTAGCAGGGAGCTGGATGGAGAAGCTGGCATTCAAACTGGTACCAATATTGGATGCTGGAGTCACAAGGGAACCCAGCCTGTTGGCTAAATAAGAATGCTGTTAATGAACAAATGTGGTATTTATTTCTATTTCACTGAGCTAAAGAAATGAAATTTCACTGTTAGATATAAACATGTCTTAAAGAACCCTGCCACAGAAGAATTTTGCCACAGAGAACCATGTCTGTCTGTCTGTCTCTCTCTCTCTCTTTTTTAACCTTTATTTTATTTATTTGAAGGGCAGAGTGGAGGGAAAGTCAAAGAAGGAGATCTTACATCTGCTTGTTCACTCCCCAGATGGCTGCAACAGCCAGGGCTGAGCCAGGCCAAAGGAGCCAGGAACTCCCTGCAGGTTTCCTGTGTGAGTAGCAGGGGCCCAAGTACATGGGCCATCTTCTGCTGCCTTCCCAGCTGCATTAGGAAGGAGCCAGATCAGAAAGCAGAGCAGCCAGATGTGGGGAGCAGCTCGGACTAGACTAAGTTACTGGAATTAAGACTTATTCTATGCATCTGCTCTCCCACAATATGGCGCTGAGAAGGGAGAAACAGCTTCTACACAGCTGCCTCCAGTTCAACCAATAAACTGTAGGACCTACTCCTGATTGGAGGAGAGCAGCGTACTCGGCGTGTGGGTAGCAGAGTTGGGATTGGTGGAAGAGGACTATAAAGGAGGAGAGAGACAACATGCACCAGGAACATCTAAGAGGAACACCTGTGCAGCCCCCGAGAGAGCCGGCCGGCGGTGTGCCGCTCCCCTGCGGAAGTAGGGAAGGTGGCAGGGGGCCCGCCCCTCCACGGAGGTGGAGGGATGGCAGCCAACCAGGGAAGAACCAGCAGCAAACCCGGGAAGGGCCGAGCAGACAAAAGAACAGCGCAGGGTCCTGTGTCGTTCCTCCATGAAGAGGGGGAGCGACAGCCAGAGATATTTTTCCTCCATCCAGATTGTAGAATATTTATGAAGTGACACAGAGGTGAGCAGCAGACATAGGCAGCAAGTCAGATTTTTTTCCCTTTTCTCTCCTGTTCTTTTCTCCTTTTTTCCCCCAAAGATTGTAGTTTTAACTAGTGAATAGTTTCTAGAACACATGGTTTTTTTGAGCTCTAGATATCAAGTGAACTGGAAAGACAGTAGCAGTTGCTAAGAAGAGAGAATGGTACAAGAAAGCCAAGAGAAGCCTCCTGGGTCCTGGGGTGATCCCAGCTCTTCAGTTTGGAGATGCTTAAGCTTCCTGAGGGGCAGGGAAAGTTCAGCCGCCCTTTCAGAGTCTGTAGTAGTCTGGTGTGCGGTGTGACGATTTCTTTGAGGCTTTTCTAGCCCACATACATTTTACATCTGTTCTGCTTTCATTGCTTGTTCCAAGTAGCAGAGATTGATGCATCTACTCAGTCAGGGCCCTGTTTCTGGAATGGGTTCTGAGGTCCATGTCTATTCAACAGACATTTATAGAGTAGTTTTTTGTTTGTTTGTTTTTAAGATTTATTTATTTACTTGGAAGTCACATTTAAAGAGGACAGGGAGAGAGAGAATCTCCCATCAAAAGCAGAGCAGGGTGCTGTAGCTTAATGGGTAAAGATGCCACCTATGATTCCAGTATCCCTTATGGGCACTGGTATGAGTCTTGGCTATTCCACTTCCGATCCAGCTCTCTGCTATGGCCTGGGAAAGCAATAGAAGGTGGCCCAAATCCTTGGGCCCCTGCACCCGTGTGGGAGATCCGGAAGAAGCTCCTGGCTTCAGATTGGCCCAGCTGTGGCCGTTGTGGCCATTTGGGGAGTGAATCAGAAAATGGAAGACTTCCGCCTTTCTGTAACTCTGCCTCTCAGATAAATAAATCTTTAAAAAAAAAAAAAAAAAAAGTGGAGCAGGGGCCAGCATTGTGGTGTAGTGGGTAAAGCTGCTGTGGCGCCAGAATCCCATATGGGCACTGGTTTGAGTCTTGGCTGCTCCACTTCTGATCCAGTTCCCACTAACACCTGGGAAAGCAATGGAAGATGGCCCAAGTGCTTGGGGCCCTGTACCCACATGGGAGACCCAGACTAGGCTCCTGGCTTCAGTGTGGCCCATCTCCAGCTGTTGCCATTTGAGGAGTGAACCAACAGATGGAAGATCTCTCTCCCTCTCTATTTCTTTCTATAACTCTGCCTTAAAACAAAACAAAACAAAAAAAACAGCCAGGACATGAACTGGCGCTCATTTGTGGGCTACTATCATCTCAGGTGGTGGCTTTACCTGCTAGGCCACATCCCTGGCCTTTATAGAGCTCTTTTATTGTGATGAACTTTGAGATAAATAGGTCAGTTTTTCTAGTCTGATTGGGGAGGCAAACACTTCAAAGACTTGTTATAATTTCAAAGCCTGTGAGGACTAAGTAGAAAGATAAGTAATGTCTGTTGGGGTTGGGAGTGAGGGAAAAAATTTAGGACAAAGCTGTCTAATAGAACTTAATACGGCGGGCTCTTGTTCCCTGGCCTCTTGTCCGGGAGGGAGCTTGCTGTAGCCCCACGCCTCCAGGGTACATGGCCTTCTGGCCATGGCTCTAGGCTTCCTGGCCCAGATACAGGCCTAGATGCTCTTCCACATGGCTGGTTCCTGGTGTTTGGTATGAACCTCTATTCACCTCTAAATAAAGCTCTCACTCTCCTATGCATTTTTCCTCACTAAATAAAAGCTTAAAACGTTAAAAAAAAAAAAAAGGCAAAACAAAACAAAAACAAAAACCAACCAAACAAAAAAACTTAATACACTTGGCCCTTTGGCCTAGATCAAGTGTAGAAATTAATACAGTATCAAAATACTCTGTATCTATGCCATCCAGTTGTTAACCTCTAGCCACATATGAACTGTGACAAGGAAGACTGAGGAGGGTACATTTAAACAGCCATGTGTGGCAGATGGCTGCTGTGTGGAGCAGCACAGATCTAGATGATGTGATATATTCCCACTGGATTGACTTCCTAGAGTGTACGGTAGGGGCTTTTGTAATTGTGTTTCTTCTGTACTGTGATAATTCTAAATCTAATTATTTCTCAGAAAAAATGGACTCTTTGATGTTTTGCTTTGATTAGAAACTCTTTGCTGCCACTCTTGTCCTTGTCAGGCTCTTCCTTGGAGGGAATCTTCTGCAGCCAGTAGTCATGTTGGGAAGGCCCTAGATAATGGGGACAGGAACCTTAAGAGTAAGACTAAGATGCTTTTCCCAGTACAGTGTATCTTCCAAATACAGATAGGAAACTTGTTTAAGCAGGCTGATAGTAGGGAACACCTTGCCAGCTGAATGTGGATTGGATGGTCCCATCTTTGCTACTCTGTGTCTTTACTGCCCTTCCAATATTTGTCATGCTGATTGCAATGTGCAGCATGAGAATGGGGAAACTGGATTGCCCCAGTTTAGTCTGAAGTAGTTGAAGAGTGTTTGCTTTCAAGTGTTCCTTCTGGCTCTTCCCTCCCTTTTTATTGCTATGGTTGGACTTAATACAAGAAACTTTAATTTTTTTCCTTAGACAACCTCATCAGCTTTGAAAGGTGCCATCCAGTTAGGCATTACTCACACTGTGGGGAGCCTGAGTACCAAACCAGAACGAGACGTCCTCATGCAAGACTTCTATGTGGTGGAGAGTATCTTCTTCCCCAGGTATAGAGGTTAATTAATGTTCAGGCAAATGGCTTGGAAATGTGACTTTTTTTTTTTTCTTTCTTTCTTTCTTTCTTTTTTTTTTTTTGTTTGAGAGACAAAGAACTCTAATCTACTGGTTCAGTCTCCAAGTGCCCATAACCAGAAGGACCAGAGTAGGGAAATGGGAACTCTATATAGGTTTCCCACATGGGTGGCAGATGCTCAGTTACTCAAGCCATTACTGCTGCTTCCCAGGGTCTGCATAATCAGGAAGCTGGAGTTAAACTGTGGCACTCCAGTGTGAGACATGGGCATTCTAAACTGCAGTTACCCTGCTTTTTCAAGTCAACCCAGGATAGTTTTAAAAGTTCAAAGCTGACTAATTAAGGTATGTGTCCAGTCCTCACCCTGATGATAATCAGGATGTTGTGGGACTGGAGAATTTGGTGAGCAGATGCTTCCTTTTAATGCCTCCATGAGCCTCTGGTCCATGGAGTTACCCCTTAAAGGATAGCTTAATGGATTGAATAGGAGGCATTGTGATTCCCTATGCCCGTGTCTTGGTCCTTACATTGTGCCTTTATCCTACTGAGGAAGTGATTCATCTAATCCCTGTAATTCTCTGAGAAGGGTTGCATTTGTTCCCCTTGCCTCAGCATTGGGTGTTTGTGTCTTCCCAGGGTGGACTCCCTGGATGACAAGAATCGGAAAGTTAAGATTTCTTCTATTTAACTCCACAGTGAAGGGAGCAACCTGACTCCTGCTCATCACTACAATGACTTCCGTTTTAAGACCTATGCACCTGTTGCCTTCCGCTACTTCCGAGAGCTATTTGGCATCCGGCCTGATGATTACTTGGTAAGCCTCTGGGTTTCAGGACCCTGTTACTCCATTATGGTAGGGATATTCCCAAAGGAAGACCCCTTTCTCTACTGTCTTGCTGTTGCTTTCTTAAAATTGCATCTGTATTTGATTTCTGTGGTGGGCAGGCCCTGGTATATCTAAATTTCTTTACTCCCTTCTTTTGGCCTCAGTACTCCCTCTGCAGTGAGCCACTGATCGAACTCTGCAACTCCGGAGCAAGTGGTTCCCTTTTTTATGTGTCAAGCGATGACGAGTTTATCATCAAGACGGTCCAGCATAAAGAGGCAGAGTTTTTGCAGAAGCTGCTTCCAGGATACTACATGGTAAGGGTTGTAGGAGCACCAGCTGTCTATATTCCCTACTCCTGGACAAGGCCAGGGAGGCTATCTTCAGTTGAGTAAAATGGTATTTCTGTCTTGAGAATGTGGTTGTTCTTTTACAAACCCTCTATGGTTAAAAGAGATGTTTTAAGATTTATTTGAAAGGCAGAGTGATATGGAGAGAGAAGGAGAGATAGTTAAGAGATCTTCCATCCACTGATTCATTCCCCAAATACCTACAAGAGGCAGGGATGGACCAGGCTGCAGCCAGGAGCCAGGACTCCATTAGGAAGTCTCCCATGTGGATGGCAGGAACCCAAACAGTTGGGCCATCATTTGCTGCCTTCCAGGCATGTTAGCAGGAATCTGGATTGGAAGTACAGAGTAGCAGGATTCAGACCAGCACTCTGATATGGCATGCAGGCATCTCAAGTGGCAGCTTTTAACCCACTGTACCACGTCTGTCCCTGTTTATTTGAAAGAGCTCTCTCCTGCTGGTTTACTTCCCAAATCCCTGCAACAGCCAGGGCAGGGCCAGGCTGAATCCAGGAACTGGGAGTCTAGGTCTAGGTCCCCACATCAGTGGAAAGAACCCAGCCACTTTAGCCATACCTGTTGCCTCCCAGGGTTTGCACTTGAGGAAGCTGGAATTGGGAGCTGGAGCCTTGGACTTGAACCCAAGCACTGTGATGATTTAATTCAGGCCTCATAACTGCCATGCCAAATATTCCTCCTCTCCCCATGTCTGTCCTTTTATTTAATTTTTTAAAAGATTTTTTTATTTATTTGAGAGGTAGAGTTATAGACAGAGAGAGGGAGAGACCGAGAAAGGTCTTCCATCTGCTGGTTCACTCCCCAAATGGCCGCAACAGCTGGAGCTGCACCGTTCCAAAGCCAGGAGAAAAGAGCTTCTTCCATGTCTCCCATGTGGGTGTAGGGGCCCAAGGACTTGGGCCATCTTCTACTGCTTTCCCAGGCCATAGCAGAGAGCTGAATCAGAAGTGGAGCAGCCGGGACCCGAACCGGCACCCACATGGGATGCTGGCACTGCAGGCAACGGCCTCACCCACTATGCCACAGCACCGATTCCTACTAATCAACATTCTGTATTCAGATTGAGTTTTTGTTTTGTTTTAAGTTCCACATATAAGAGAGAATATGTGGTATTTGTCTTTTTGTGTCTGGCTTATTTCACTCAATATGGTGTCCTCCAGTTCCATTTTGCTGCAGATGACAGGATTTTATTTTTTTATAGCCAAATATTCCATTGTGCATATATGCCACATTTTCTTTATTCATTCATCTGATGATGATGGACACACTTTGGTTGATTCCATATTTTCGCTATTGTGAAAGTATCCTACTTTTTAAAAGTTTAGACATAAATTTATTTGTTTGAAAGGCATAGTGACAGAGGGAGAGACAGAGAAAAAGATCGTTTGTCTGCTAGTTTACTCCCCAAATAGCCACAACTGCTGGGAGTGGGCTAGGCTAACACCAGGAGCTAGGCACTCCATCCTGGTATTCCACATGGATGTCAGGGGCCCAAGTCCTTGGGCCATCATCAGCTGTGTTCCAGGTACATTAGCAGGGAGCTGGATCATAAATGGAACGGCTGGGACTCAAACCAGCACTCCCATGTCGGGTGCCTGAATTGCAGGTGGTGGCTTAATCTGCTAAAATACAGCATTATAAAAGCAGTATCTTGCTTTTAATTCTTGGCTTAGACTGCCAAGGCAAGAATCAAGATTTTTTTTCCCTGTTCTTAGTCCAGATCCTAATCTGGAGAATGAGATAGGTTACTTTCCTTGATAGGACCCTATTCATTTCACTCTGACAGATTACTCTTGGAAGTTCTGAGGAATTTAGGAACTCTTTTTGCCTCCTGTAGTACCCCAAAAATACATTATGCTCAGAATTAAGGGTTAGGACTTTTTCCAATGCAGTCTTCTCTTAAAGCTCTCTGAAGGAAGGTGTATCCATTATATGTTTGGGATCCTGACTGCTGATTATGTTAGAGGATCTGTGGCCTGGCTTGATGGTGATCTTGTCAATGAGATAGACAGATTGGAAAATTTTAAATAAATGTCATGTGATTGTATGAGTGGACATATTATGCCAAAGAAGACAAATGAAGGGTGGAACGCAATTTTTTCCTTTGAGTTTCACTGAAAATTAACTAACTTGAAATTCTTCTTGTTTTTACTTTTGTGCTCTCAGAACCTCAACCAGAATCCTCGCACTTTGCTGCCTAAATTCTATGGACTGTACTGTGTGCAGGCAGGAGGCAAGAATATTCGAATTGTGGTGATGAACAATCTCTTACCACGATCAGTCAAGATGCATATCAAATATGACCTCAAGGGCTCAACCTACAAACGACGGGCTTCCCAAAAAGAGCGAGAGAAGCCTCTCCCCACATTTAAAGACCTGGACTTCTTGCAAGACATCCCTGATGGTCTTTTTTTGGATGCTGACATGTACAATGCTCTGTGTAAGACCCTGCAGCGTGACTGTTTGGTAAGTTTGTCATATTTCCCTCTCAGACACCAAAAATCTCAACCACTAAAATAACTTGGTTCTTGGGCATTAATTCTGTGGGAGATGAGACTCTGTTCCTTAGCTCCATATGCCTTAAACTTCATTTAAAATAACTTTTACATTGGCTCTTTGCCATAACTTCGCATTTTCACTTTCTCCCTGTTTTTCATCCCCCCCACTGGGCTTGATTTCCTTCTCTAACCATCCTGGGCCTCGTCATCAAGCATTCTGCTCACTTTCACATCCACCGCCTCATTCCTCAGATCTTGGTCCTGCCTGCCAAATCCAGATTTATCCCATAGAGGCTGAGTGCTGCTGAAAACAATCACTGGCATATCTACAGGTGCATGTTATCCAGTCCCACCTGGCCTTGCAGTGTTGCCCAGCATCCATTTCCTTTTCCTCTCAGTAGGAATTTTAGATGGTTGAGGGTTTTTTTTTTTTTTCCTGAAAGATTGTTTATTTGAAAGGCAGAGTTAGAGGCAGAGAGAGAGAGAGAGACAGAGGTCTTCCATCCATTGGTTCACTCTCCAAATGGCTGCAACAGCCAGAGCTGGGCTGATCCGAGGGCAGGGGCCTAAGGACTTGGGACATCTTTCACTGCTTTCCCAGGCCATAGCAGAGAGCTGGATTGGAAGTGAAGCAGCGAGATTCAAACTGGGGCCCACATGGGATGCCGGCACTGTAAGCAGCAGCTGTACCTGCTGCACCACAGTGCTGACCCGTGGTTGACACTCTTAAAACCATTTTCTTTTAATATTTTTGTTTCATCTGTTTTTTATTTATTTGGAAGGCAGAGAGACAGAGATCTTCCATCTGCTGGGTTGACTCCCCCAAATGCTTGGAACAGTCAAGGATGGGTCAGGCCTAAGCCAGGAACCAAGAGTTCAGTGCAGATCTTCCATAGGGGTGGCAGCTACCCAATTATTTGAGCTATCACCTGTTACTCTCAGGTTGCACATTAAGAGGAAGCTGGAGGGGGCTGGTGCTGTGGCATAGCGGGTAAAGCCCTGCCTGCAGTGCCAGCATCCCATAGGGGCGCTGGTTTGAGTGGAAGATGTCCCAGATCCTTGGACCCCTGCACCTATGTGGGAGACCCAGAAGAAGCTCCTGGCTTCAGATCGGCTCATCTCCAGCCTTTGTGGCCATCTGGATAGTGAACCAGTAGATGGAAGATCTTTCTCTCTGTCTCTCTCTCTGTAACTTTTTCAAATAAATAAATAAATCTTTTTTAAAAAATGCATTATCTTCTTTCTTCCCAGCTTGGTGGCTTATATCCAGCCAGTTTGTTTTGTGCTCTAGATTCAATTCCTCCTCTTCAGGACCTACTTCTCTTATGTCCTTCTGTGCCTTCAGCTCCTACTGCCGTGTTTTCTTTCTACTTGCAAGCAATCTCTCTTCTGTCTTACATTTAGGAGGATTTTTTTTTTCAGTGCCTTTTGACTAAAGATGCTTCCAGTTCTGCTTTTCCTTTCTGTTTTTCCTGCCTCAACCACTATGTCCTCCTGCCTTGTGCTCTCACCTCTTTGAGACCACCCAGATGCTAAACACAATACTTCTCAGGCCTTCTTTACATTTTCAGCAATGTTTGACATTTGGCAGCTGACTGCTTTCTTAACATGTCTTTGGGTTTCTTTTGTTGACACATTTCCCTATTGATTTTTCTAATCTGTTTGTTTTTCTTCAAATTGCTTTTGCAGGATTGTCTTCCTCTACCCAGTCCATAATACTGTCCATCCTTGCCCTCGTTTACTCATTCTGTGCTTGCTTCCAGGGTAAAACCTGTTTTGGTGCATCTCCTGGGATTGCCAGGGAAAGAGGCTTATTCAGCTAATGAGGCCTACAGATTTTTCTTTTTTTTTTTTTTTTTTTTTAACAGGCAGAGTGGACAGTGAGAGAGAGAGACAGAGAGAAAGGTCTTCCTTTGCCGTTGGTTCACCCTCCAATGGCCGCCGCGGCCGGCGCGCTGCGGCCGGCGCACCGCGCTGATCCGATGGCAGGAGCCAGGAGCCAGGTGCTTTTCCTGGTCTCCCATGGGGTGCAGGGCCCAAGCACCTGGGCCATCCTCCACTGCACTCCCGGGCCACAGCAGAGAGCTGGCCTGGAAGAGGGGCAACCGGGACAGAATCCGGCGCCCCAACTGGGACTAGAACCCGGTGTGCCGGCGCCGCTAGGCGGAGGATTAGCCTAGTGAGCCGCAGCGCCGGCCGAGGCCTACAGATTTTTCAAACTGTACACAAGAATCAATCCTAAGCTCTCTTCATCCCTATGCCACCACCTGCTGAGACATTCTTGGTTGAGCTGTACTTCGTGGTGAACTGTTGGAGCTGATAGGCATATACCCTTTCCAAGACCGTTCTAGGGTGCAAAAAGGGATTGAAGATAATAGAAGGCAGTCTGGGCTCCTCCTGATGACACATTTTGCCTGTCATTGCTTTGCCTCCTCACCTCTAATCTGTTGCACTTACCCTTTGCATTTTATGTTGCAGTGATACTGAATTATAGCTCTCTGTGTGAAATAAGCTGTTTCATACTCCAGAATCTGACATTATTCTTTCCTTCCTTTATGTACTTTGATGTACTTTCTAATTGATCCTTCATAAACTTGTTTACATACCACTTTTTTTTTTTTTTTTTTTTAAGAATTACTTTATTGGCCGGCGCCATGGCTCAATAGGCTAATCCTCCACCTTGCGGCGCCGGCACACCGGGTTCTAGTCCCGGTCGGGGCGCCGGATTCTGTCCCGGTTGCCCCTCTTCCAGGCCAGCCCTCTGCTGTGGCCAGGGAGTGCAGTGGAGGATGGCCCAGGTGCTTGGGCCCTGCACCCCATGGGAGACCAGGAAAAGCACCTGGCTCCTGGCTCCTGCCAGGATCAGCGCGGTGCGCCGGCTGCAGCGGCGGCCATTGGAGGGTGAACCAGCGGCAAAGGAAGACCTTTCTCTCTCTGTCTCTCTCTCTCACTGTCCACTCTGCCTGTCAAAAAAAAAAAAAAAAAAAAAAAGAATTGCTTTATTTATTTAAAAGGCAGAGTTACAGAGAGAGGTAGAGCCAGAGAGAGAGAGAGAGGTCTTCCATTCCACTGTTTCACTCCCCAAATGACTGCAATGGCCAGAGCTGAGCTGATCCGAAGCCAGGAACCAGGAGCTTCTTTGGGTCTCCCATGCCGGTGCAGGGGCCCAAGAAGTTGGGCCATCTACTGCTTTCCCAGGCCATAGCAGAGAGTTGGATCAGAAGAGGAGCAGCTGGGGCTCGAACTGGCACCCACATGGGATGCCGGCACTGCAGGCTGGGGCTTTAACCCACCATGCCACAGCACTGGCCCCTACGTACACTTCTTAATGATTTCTTGATGACCTCTATACTCTTTCTTCTATCATTTAAACACTTCTGTTATACATTTGAGAATTAGACTGTTGCTAAAGTTACCATATCCTTGAAGACAAATACTGAGTGTCTTTTTATCCCTTTAAGCAGACATGATGACACATGGTGGGGATTTAGCTATTGAATGGAAGCTGATCTTATAAGGAGCTGCAACAGATCTACTCTGTCACACTGTGTATTTACCAGACCTTCATTATGGATTCTTGACAGTGCAGTTACCTATTCCTTGTTTCCTTGAGAATTACAATTCTTTTCATGAATAGATACGAGGAAAGAACAGAGGATCTTCTGGGCTAGGCATTGGGACTTGGAAAAAGTAATTTGTATTTTTTTAAAGAGAGAACTAAGGATGTGTGAATACTTACTAATCAGGGGAGGGTAATATACTCTTCTCCAAGGAGGAGGAAGAGCAGAGTTAACCTCTGGTTAGCCCTGAAGTTTCACTATCAGGATTCATTAATGTTCTGATATCCGGGAAAAAATTTTCAAACCTCCCAAGGTTCAGATCATACTTTTCCATTCCATTAGGTTCTCCAGAGCTTCAAGATAATGGACTACAGCCTCTTGATGTCAATCCACAATATAGACCACGCACAACGGGAGCCCTTAAGCAGTGAAACACAGTACTCAGTTGACTCTCGCAGACCAGCACCCCAAAAGGCTCTGTACTCCACAGCCATGGAATCCATCCAGGGCGAGGCTCGACGGGGTGGCACTATGGAGACTGATGACCAGTGAGTAGGCTCAGGGGCGCCAGAGAGGAGAGCATAGGTATTTCTTGGGGATGGACACTAGTTCCTGGAAAGGGGTAGCTCTTTAGAAAACAATTATTTATTATTTGTAGGCAGCTAGAGAGAGACCAACAGAGAGAGAGAGAGATCTCTCATTTGCTGGCTCACTCCCTGAATGCCCACAGTGGCCAGAGCTGGGCCAGGCTTTGCTTGGGCTGAACCCCAGAACAACAGCTCAATCCAGGTCTCACACATGGGTGACAAGAACCCAATCACTTGGAAGATTAGTATTGTTTCTCAGGTCTGTATTGGCAAGAAGCTGGAGTTAGGAACCAGACCTGGGATCCAAACCCAGATATTCCAATATAGGAAGCAGATATCTTAACCTTTGGCTAATCACCTGCCCCGAAGGAGTAGCTTGGATTCAGCAATTAAGTCAGCAGCAACATTAACACTCTCAGAACTGCAGAACAAGCTTTCTTAAAACCATAAAAAGGAAAGTATCTTTAATTGGGGCTTGTAATATGTCTTGGAAGGAGAGCTTTCCAAGATTGCAAGAATGAAGAAGCGCACACAGACAATTTGAATAGGCATTTGGCCTGAGAGTTCAGCTTCTGATTAGGGCACTTATGTCCCATATCAAGATTTTGACTCCTGATTCCATCCTTCTGCTAAAATGGACCTTGGGAGGCAGTGGTGGTGGCTCAGATACAAGTTCCTGCCACCCGAATGAGACCTGGATTTTTATAAAGAAAATTTAAAAAAAGCATTACACTTGGAAACTTAGGCACATGTCTATGAATTACATTAGGATTTTATCACAAACTATTTTGACTTCTTTGTAGAAGACATCTTTCTTAACCATCATAGAACTCATGAGGTACACCTATTAGACATCGTAAATGACTTTCAGGTGGTTCCATTAATAAGGTATCCTATGACATGACTCTCAAGTGTCTTAGTGGGCACAAATGAAAAGTACTGGGGAAGTGTAAAGATCATGGGACACTTCCACATTTGCACGTAATGATGATCTTAGATTCTCTTTGCTAGAAGTGGGGTAGGAGGAGCAGGCAAAGAGAAGGAGATAACGAGGTTATAATACATATTCCAGAAAGGTTCCTGGAATTGGAGGAAGGACTTCGCTCTTTCCTAGTTTATGGGGGTGAGACAGTTAAGTAGGTCTCAATTCCATGTCCCTGACTCAAGATTAAGAGAAGCCTCTACCTATTTACAATAAATTTTCTTACTCTTTCCCTTTTGTCCTCTAGTATGGGTGGCATCCCTGCCCGGAATAATAAAGGAGAAAGGCTCCTGCTGTATGTTGGCATCATTGATATTCTGCAGTCATACAGGTGAGCAGCATTTGGAACTCAAATTAGGAGACAGGGTAGGTGCAGTTAGCCACTCACAGTTTGTTTTAGATAAGTTTGTTGCCAGGTTCTTTAGTCTGTCAGCTTACCTTGTTGTTGTCGTTGTTGTTTTAAGATTTATTTATTTTACTTAAAAGTCACAATTACACAGAGAAAGAGGGAGAGGCAGAAAGAGAGAGGTTTTCCATCCACTGTTTCACTCCCCAGTTGGCCACAACAGTCGGAGCTGTGCTGATCCGAAGCTAGGAGCCAGGAGCTTCCTCTGGGTCTCTCACGCAGGTGCAGGGGCCCAAGGACTTGGGCCGTCTTCTACTGCTTTCCCAGGCAGAGAGCTGGATCTGAAGAGGAACAGCTGGGACTAGAGGACTGGAAGATGACCCAAGTGCTTGAGCCCCGCCTCCCTCCTCTCTCTCTCCTCTCTCCCTCTCCTCTCCTCTCTCTGGTAACTCTGACTTTCAAATAAATAAATAAATCTTAAAAAAAAAAATAAAAACAAAGACAGTATTAGCCTGTGGAATTAAGGAGTCAGTGGAGTCAGTGAAGTAATAGTAAGGGAGGTATTGGAAATGTTAGACCCCAGTTTTGTTCTGATAAAGTGTCATGTACTAGTTGAGGACTTGACAATACTTGATTTACTGACTGAGAATATTATGCAGTTTTGTTTTGCTTTGGTTTTTTTTGACAGGCAGAGTCGACAGTGAGAGAGAGACAGAGAGAAAGGTCTTCCTTTTGCCGTTGGTTCACCCCCCAATGGCCACTGCAGCCAGCGCACCGCACTGATCGGAAGCCAGGAGCCAGGTGCTTCTCCTGGTCTCCCATGGGGTGCAGGGCCCAAGCACCTGGGCCATCCTCCACTGCTCTCCCGGGCCACAGCAGAGAGCTGGACTGGAAGAGGAGCAACTGGGACTAGAACCCGGTGTGCCGGCGCCGCAGGCGGAGGCTTAGCCTAGTGAGCCACCGCGCCGGCCTAGAGAATATTATGCAGATTTAACTACCCTTTCCAGGCTTGTCCATTTATTCCTCCAGCTTTTTTTTTTTTTTAAAAAAGGGAAAGCTTTTTTTTTTTTTTTTAAGATTTATGTATTTATTTATTTGAAAGGCAGAGTTACACAGAGAGGAGGAGAGGCAGAGAGCGAGAGAGAGGTCTTCCATCTGTTGGTTCACTCCCCAAGTGGCCGCAACGGCCAGAGCGCTGTGCCAATCCGAAGCCAGGAGCTTCTTCCAGGTCTCCCATGCGGGTGCAGGGGCCCAAGGCCTTGGGCCATCCTCTGCTGCTTTCCTAGGCCATAGCAGAGCTGAATTGGAAGTGGAGCAGCCAGGACTCGAGCGAATGCCCATGTGGGATGCTGGCACTGTGGGTGGCGGCTTCACCAGCTACATCACAGCACCAGCTCCTTTTCAGGGTTTTTAATGTCTTTGCTTCTTTAGTAGTTTCCAAAAATAGAATACTACTATCATTCATTCAAAACTGATGTGAGCATGTAATACAAAATTTTCTTGGCAGGTTTGTTAAGAAGTTGGAGCACTCTTGGAAAGCATTGGTACATGACGGAGTGAGTAGAAGAGGTCTCCTTCCTCACTTGTGATTTGCCCCTCGCTTTTTTCCTTTTTTTTTCCCCTTCATTTCTGGGTTTTGTCCCCTTGCTGGGCGCCTCCCTTGCTCTAACTCTGGAGCTATCTCTTCTGCTTTGCAGGACACCGTATCGGTGCATCGTCCAAGCTTCTATGCTGAACGGTTCCAGCGCTTCATGTGCAATACAGTGTTCAAGAAGATCCCCTGTAAGTGGGTTCTACCAGATGACCCCCCAGTGGCTCCCTTACCCCAAGAGATGGGGGGCAGGACACCTGTGTCAGGGAGCTGCCAAGGCCAGAGGTCTCTCCTGCTCTGCCTACGTCCTGTGACAGCCACTTCTCGTCCTATGTCAGTCACTCTGTCTGTCCCAGTCGTTTCCGAGTTGCTGCTTTCCCCCTGGCTCTCCCTCCATGTGTCACTGAGGTGAGGGCCACTTCTGGGTAATTGGGATTGCAAAAAATGTATAGTTGTGGATGGAGGATTCATGCTAAAGACTCAGATAGGCAGAGCCTGATTTTTATGTCAGAAATAGGCAGGGATGTTACCAGTGTTGTAGCTTCTGTTCATAGCCTAAGTGCCAAGGAATTCTCAGACTAGACCAAGTGGTTGAAGCTTTTTTAAATGTTTGCTTAGCAAGTGTTCTTACTCTCTTCTCGCAACTTTCTTGGGGGAGGTGTGGGAGGGTAGAGTGCCAGTGTTCTGTTTTCGCAGTCTTCTGTGCTATTGCCACCAGCACGTCCAAGCTCCTCCTTCCCGTCTCCTCATCATAGACTTCAGTAGGCATTTGGTAAAGCAGAAAGGAGCTGTGCACATCAGATAGCCTTAAGGGGCATGGGAAAAGCCTTTCAGTCTTTGCAGTGCGATAAACAAATGAGCGTGAATTTCCTTAGTGCTTTTGTACATAGGTGCCAAAAAGATTCAGAGTGAGAAGGTCATCTAAGGTTTTGCTGCAAGGTACTACTCAAGAACAAGGGAATTAAGAGTAGAAGACATTTCATCACGTGGACAGAAAGCCAGGGAGAGTGTGTGTAGGATCGGGGAGATGTGTATGTGTCGTCTGTGCTCTAGGTTTTCTGCTTCTTTCCAAAGTGAACAGAGACCGCCTCTACCTCCATCTTTGTTGACATTAACCCTCCCTCCCCCTTTGCAGGAGAACAACTTTGGGTGTGTGTTGGGGACACTAGCCGTTTGTATCTGTGTCTTGGTGATGGTTTCTGAGGTGGGTGCTAAGTAGGCTTTCTCTTTCCCTTTTGAAGTGAAGCCCTCTCCTTCCAAAAAGTTTCGGTCTGGCTCATCCTTCTCTCGGCGAGCAGGCCCCAGCAGCAGCTCCTGCGTTACTTACCAGTCATCCGTCTCTGGGGAACACAAGGCACAAGTGACAACAAAGGCAGAAGTGGAGCCAGGTCAGCGCCAGGGTTGGGGTCCCCATGTGGATTGGGCACTCCCTCCCTTCTGAGCCCTTGTCTCCTCTAGCTAGGACCTATACTCCTCATTTTTGTTCAGGAAAAGCCAAATTGCTGCATGCGTTTACTTTAGTCCCCTCGCCCTGTTTTCTCCTTTTTTCGTTTATTCATTTTCTTCCTTTCTTTTTTCCAGATGCCCACCTTGGTCGTCCTGATGTTTTACCTCAGACTCCACCTTTGGAGGAAATCTGTGAGGGCTCACCTGTTCCTGACCCTAGTTTCTCACCTGTAGCTGGAGAAACTTCACAAGTGCTAAATACAAGGTTGGTTCCCTGGCCCCTTTCTTTATATCATCTTCTCGTTTCTCTCTTCCAGTCTTTTGGAACTTCCTTAATTTTGTGTTTCAAGTGATTGTTGTTTGTCTTCTGCTCTTCAGTAGATTTGTTCAGGTTTACCTTCCTTAGTTGGTCATCTTTAGCTGTATAGAAATGTTTACCAGTATATGTGCTTCCTTAGGAAGTGGGGGAAATCTTTTTTGTGTATATATTCTGGTATTCAATCAAGTATCATCACCAACCCTTCATTTCTGGTCAATAAAGTGAGAATTCTGAACTTAGTATCTAAGATTGAAAAGATTGCTGGGTGGAAAAAAACAACAGTCTATCTTTCAAAAGAGTCCAGTATGGATTGTGAACTTATTTTTTGTTATCTAATATATTATCTTTAATTTTTTTTTGACTGGCAGAGTTAGACAGTGAGAGAGACAGAGAGAAAGGTCTTCCTTTTCCGTTGGTTCACCCCCCTAAATGGCCGCTACTGCCAACGTGCTCCGCCGATCCGAAGCCAGGAGCCAGGTGCTTCCTCCTGGTCTCCCATGCGGGTGCAGGGCCCAAGCACTTGGGCCATCCTCCACTGCGCTCCCAGGCCACAGCAGAGAACTGGACTGGAAGAGGAGCAACCAGGAAGAATCCGGCGCCCCAATTAGGACTAGAACCCGGTGTGCCGGCGCCACATGGTGGAGGATTAGCCTATTGAGCCGTGGCACCGGCTTATATTATGATTTAAAGATAGTATATTACGCTGGTGCCGCGGCTCACGTGGCTGATCCTCTGCCTGCGGCGCAGGCACACCGGGTTCTAGTCCCAGTCAGGGCGCCAGATTCTGTCCTGGTTGCACCCTTCCAGGCCAGCTCTCTGCTGTGGCCAGGGAGTGCAGTGGAGTGTGGCCAGGGAGTGCAGTGGAGGATGGCCCAAGTGCTTGGGCCCTGCATCCCATGGGAGACCAGGAGAAGCACCTGGCTCCTGCCTTCAGATCAGTGCGATGCGCTGGCAGCAGTGCGCTGGCCACAGCGGCCATTGGAGGGTGAACCAACGGCAAAGGAAGACTTTTCTCTCTCTCTATCTCCCACTGTCCACTCCGCCTGTCAAAAAAAAAAAAAATCATAATATAGCCGGCACCGCGGTTCACTAGGCTAATCCTCCGCCTTGCGGTGCCGGCACACCGGGTTCTAGTCCTGGTCGGGGCACCGGATTCTGTCCCGGTTGCCTTCTTCAGGCCAGCTCGCTGCTGTGGCCCAGGAGTACAGTGGAGGATGGCCTAAGTGCTTGGCCCCTGCACCCACATGGTAGACCAGGAGAAGTACCTGGCTCCTGCCATCGGATCAGCGCAATGCACCGGCCGCAGTGCACCGGCCGCGGCAGCCATTAGAGGGTTAACCAACGGCAAAGGAAGACCTTTCTCTCTGTCTCTCTCTCTCTTGCTCTCTCTCACTGTCCACTCTGCGTGTCACCAAAAAAAAAAAAGAATCTCTTCTTCAGTTTCCAGTAATATTTTTCTCACTTTCCTTTAATCCCTCACTGCCAACCTCCTTTAAGTCCAGAATTCTTGAACAGCATATTTGGGACCCTGTAAGTCTTAATTAAAACTCTCCTCAAAGCTACTCCCCTTTCCAAAGCCATTCCCAAATACTAATGGACATCTGAATCTGTAGCTTCTCAGCCCATTTCTGGATCCTAAATTGATTATGAAGTGAAATGTGGAGAAGCAGTATGAAATTTGATGTTAGAGTCTTCTGTATCTTCTGATTCTTTTCTCTCTGCCTCTGTTTCCCCCATCAGTTTGACCTTGGAGAAGCTTGAAGTTGTGGAGTCGGAGTTAACCTCTGTGAGTGTCTGGTATGTTGGGGAGATGAATGTTATTTGAAAGGCAGAGTTGGGGCCAGTGCTGTGACATAGTGGGTAAAGTTGCCACTTGCAGTGCTGGCATCCCATATAGGCGCCAGTTCAAGTCCTGGCTGCTCTACTTCTGATGCAGCTCTCTGCTATGGCCTGGGAAAGCAGTAGAAGATGGCCCAACTAATTTGGGCCCTTGCACCTGCGTGGGAGACTTGTAAGAAGATCCAGGCTCCTAGTTTCAAACTGACCATTGTGTCGATCTGGGGAGTGAACCAGCAGATGGAAGACATCTCTCTCTCTGCCTCTTTCTCTCTCTTTGTAACTCTGCCTTTAAATAAATAGATAGATAAATAGATAAATAAACAAATCTATCATCTATCTATCTTAAAAAAAAAAAAAAGAAGAGAGGCCGAGAGATAAACAAATCTATCATCTATCTATCTATCTTTTTTTTTTTCCCCCCACAGGCAGGCAGAGTGGACAGTGAGAGAGAGAGACAGAGAGAAAGGTCTTCCTTTGCCGTTGGTTCACCCTCCAATGGCCGCCACAGCCGGCGCGCTGCGGCTGGCGCACCGCACTGATCCGATGGCAGGAGCCAGGTGCTTCTCCTGGTCTCCCATGGGGTGCAGGGCCCAAGCACTTGGGCCATCCTCCACTGCACTCCCTGGCAACAGCAGAGAGCTGGCCTGGAAGAGGGGCAACCGGGACAGAATCCGGCGCCCCGACCAGGACTAGAACCTGGTGTGCCGGCGCCGCAAGGCAGAGGATTAGCCTAGTGAGCCGTGGCGCCAGCTATCTATCTATCTTAAAAAAAAAAAAAAAAAAAAAAAAGGCAGAGTCACAGAGAGAGAGAGAGGTCTTCCATTTGCTGGTTCACTCCTCATATGGCTGCAACAGCTGGAGCTGGGCCCATCCAAAGCCAGGAGCCTGAAACTTCTTCCAGCTCTCCCACATGGGTGCAGGAGCCCAATAACTTGGGCCATCTTTTACTGCTTTCCCAGGACACATCAGAGAGCTGGATCAGAAGTGGAACAGCCTAGACTTGAACCAGTGCCCATATAGGATGCTGGCACTTCAGGTGGTGGTTTTACCCACTATGCCGTAGCGCCTGGCCCCTAAATCTTATTTTTTTAAAATGTGATGGGTTTGGCACTTTGTTCTTGGAAGCAGAGACAGAAATAGAAAACTTTGCCAGCTTGGTTGAAATTTAACTTGAATTCCATTCCTACCTACTTGTCTGCTATTCTACATCCTTAATTTTATACTGTTTCCCTTTTTCAGTGAGCACTAAAAACTCAGAAGACCTGACACAAGGTTTACCATCCCGTGATCTCAAGATGTCAGCCCTTGCCCCAGGAATGCTGAGTTTTCTTCTTAGCCATCAAAAAAGGAGTGTAATATGGAGGATGGGGAGCTGTCTCCTTTCTGAAGAAGAACCTCCTCTCCCTCCCCTTCTCATGAATGGGCCTTGGAGCCTTGGACAATTGAGGACAGCAGCATCCTTTCTACTCCAGAGTGGCATGACTTCTCGACTGACCAGTGTCAACGTCTACAATTGACTTGCTTTCATACCCCCACTCTTTGTGCTGGAAGTGGGGTTGCTGGACTTGGTTTTCTTCTTCCTCATCTACCTTTCACCAGGAGCTGGACTCTTAACTTGCTCAGGACACACTGGCTGGCACATTATCCCCACCTTAGCTGCTTCCTTCTAGTCCCTGGAAGAAGATCCCTGTGATCTTTGTAAAGGTGTTCAGAGAAATAGGAGTGTTTAACCACCTCCCCAACTTTCTAGGAAAAGAACGAACAGCACACCGGACACGGTTTCAAGCCAGTTTCAGGTCAGAACTCCAGAAGAGCCCTGGTGTTTGTGGAGCAGAAGTGTGGTGAATGCCCTGCCTGGAGCAGCTCCTCTCGCATCCTCTCGATGAATTTCTTAAGGCTGAAGGAATGAAAGAGCGGGCGTGGTGTTCAAATCTTCACCCCTTTTATGACAACGGTGGGGCAACCATGGGACTTAGGATCCCTTCCAGGCAGGGCCCTACTCACTGCCAGGCCGTTGGTGATTACGATTTTTCAATTTCTAATGCATTCTGGTGGTTTTTCTAAATATGAAGACTTTATCAAATGAATTTTAGATCATTCTCCAAAGGAGATTTCATCTTTGTTTTTCCCATCTTTTTCAGTAATGTTCTGCCGTAGGTGGAGATGGGGACATCTGTGTCTGTTTAACAGGGAGTTTTTGAGGCTCAAGAATATTCTCTTAAACTCGTGGACAGCCAGCAGATTCTTGCTTCGGTGAGATCCCTGCTGTGCTGCATACCCTGCTACCCTGCCCCCTCTCTCACGCGGGGAACTTGGGAATGGGGGGCTGTATAAGCTGTCTGCCCATCCCTAGGAGTTGTGGTTCTCCCTCTGACACTTCCACTCTTGTAAGGGCAAGAAAGGGGCCTGGTGTCTCAGGCAGACTGAATTTTCATTCTCTCCCACCCTACCATGATAGTAGGTTAGCTTATACCCAAGTAACTGTCTATATTAGACACCCCCAGCCAGTTTCTGGCTGCCTGTCTTTGCTGCCATGTTCTTTTTTACAAGAAGGAAAGAAACAGTTCTTGCTATTTTTTTTTTCATAATAACTATTTATGATGTATTTAAGTGTTTTATTCAGGACAGAGTTCTGTAAGGGGTGGGAGGGAATATTTGAGGGAGGGTCTGGGTCTTGAGGAGAGGAATGGGAATCAACATTTTTATGAAGTGTCACTATTTGCCTCTACTTTGTATTGTTCAGAAATGGCAAATGCAATATAAAAGTAATAAATATCTGGTTTTAATGAGTCAGCTTTCATCAGTTATTGAGATCTGTTATTTCTTCCAAATGGTTCTTTTTCATACACCATCTGCTCCAGCCTCCTACTGCACCACCCAGGCCCAGTTTTGTTCGTGTTGCGAATGAACAAAAGCTGCATACTTTGCAGTGTCCCTGCATCTTCAGTCTGACTCCAGCTCAGACAGCTTCATTCCCTATTTTCAGCCAGCCCACCATTTAATAACAAGGAAAAGCTGTGAATTAATATGAAGGGGATTATGACAGTTCTCTTGCCTAGACTGCAGGCAAATTTGAATTGAGGGATTTGGGAGCCCAAAGCTGGAAGTTTACTAAGATTTAGGAGGAAATGAGAGGAACTTTGAGAAAAACAAGTTTCCTGTTGGTAGCCCTGGTATTCCCTCCCTGTCCTCGCCCTGACCTGGCCACCGGGTGCTATTCATAGAGATTGCTTACTTCAGTTCTGGGCTGTGTGGTTGTTTAAACTCATTTACTGCAATAGGAACTAGACAAGGTGGCAGGGGGAGGCCCCTTCGGAGGCACAGCAAAGCAAGTTAACTAAACCTTGTGCCTTTCCATACCACTACCCCTGTTAAGATCATTGCAGTTTTCCCTTTTTTATATATTAATACTTAATTTTAAACTAATCCCATCCTCCACACGAAGCAGTAGTCCAAATGGCTACTGCCAGCTAGTCACCAGACTCCCGAGATAATTCCTGACAGGTTTCTTGGAGGGCTGGGTGCTGTCCAGGTGGGTATACCAGGTCCGTGGTGGAGCCTTTGATTATCTCTGGATTATGCTCATAATTGCAGTTGGTTTTACTAACATGCAGATAAAGTTGAGCCACTGTGCACTGTACAAGACTGCTCGGCAACCCAGCCTTGCATCTTCACACCTGTTTGTGGTACCCCCACAGCTACTGCTGCTCACCCTCATGTAGTTGGCACCCACTGGCTCACTCCAGTGTTGGAGAAGACTGTCCTGAGCACCTGTGCAGACATGTACATACCAGCTAATGAGCAATGCAGGAGGGGACTTGAAGGTCAAAAGAACTGTTCTTCAAGAATATAGTATACAGGATGAAACCATGTTAAGTGTAGTACAGCTAAAGATTGAGGTACAGATGGGGCTGGCGCTGAGGCGTAGCCAGTTAAACTATCACCCCCACTGCCAGCACCCTGCAATTTCCTGTCTCCACTGCTCCACTTCCCATCCAGCCCCCTGCTAAGGCGCCTAAGAAAGCAGTGGAGGATGGCTCAACTGCTTGGGTCCCTGCACCCATGTGAGAGACCCAGATGCAGCTCCTGGCCGCTGGCTTCAGCCTGGCCCTTCCCCTGCTGTTGTGGCTATTTGGGAAACGAGCCAGCAGATGGAAGAATCTCTAACTCTGTCTTTCAAATGAACACAATTTTAAAATTTAGGTGTAGAATATGGAAGTGGACGAACAGTAGAGACTACTGGGAGCTGGAAGTGTTGGGGAGGTTCTCACGTCAGTACAAGGGCCTACAGGCGGAAAAGTGAATGATGAGGATGTCATAGCAGATACAGCTCAAGGCAACGTGGGAAACCTGACTGCTAGACTGAGGAACTTTTACTTTTTTAAAGATTTATTTAGAAGGCTGGGGCCAGCATTGTGGCTTAGCAGGTTAAGCCTCTGCCTGCACTGTCATCCCCTATGGGTGCCGGATCGAGACCTGACTGCTCCACTTCTGATCCAGCTCCCTGCTGATGGCCTGGAAAAGCAGCAGAACATGGCCCAAGTGCTTGGGCCCCTGCATCCACTTGAGAAACCCAGAAGAAGCTCCTGGCTCCTGGCTTAGGATCAGCCCAGCGCTGGCCATTATGGCTATCTGGGGAGTGAGCCAACAGGTGGAAGATCTCTCTGTCCTCCTTTTTCTGTAACTTTCAGATTGATAGCTAGCTAGCTAGCTAGATAGCTAGATAGCTAGATAAAGGGATCTTGAGGCTGGCGCCGTGGCTCAGGATTCTGTCCCGGTTGCTCCTCTTCCAGGCCAGCTCTCTGCTGTGGCCTGGGAAGGCAGTGGAGGATGGCCCAAGTGCTTGGGCCCTGCACCCCATGGGAGACCAGGAGAAGCACCTGGCTCCTGGATTCGGTTCCACAGAGCGCGGGGATCTTCTTCCGCCAGTCATAGTGGCCACTTCTGGGGTGAACCAATGGAAAAAGGAAGACCTTTCTCTCTCTCTGTCTAACTCTGCCTGTCCAAAAAAAAAAAAAAAAAAAAAAGGAATCTTGGGGCTGGCAGTGTGCCATATCAGGTAAAGCTGCTGCCTGCAGTGCCAGCATCCCATATGGGTGCCAGTTAGAGTCCTGGCTGCTCCACTTCCCATTCCTATCCAGCTCTCTGCTATGGCCTGGGAAAGCAGTAGAAGATGGCCCAAGTCATTGGGCCCCTGCACCCGCATGGGAGACCCAGAATAAGCTCCCGGCTCCTGGCTTCAGATCAGCACAACTCCGGCTGTTGTGGCCATTTGGGGAGTGAACCAGCAGATGGAAGGCTCTCTCTGTGCCTCTTTCTCTCTGTAACTATGCCTTTCAAATAAATAAACAAATCCTTAAAAAAAAACGGAATTTTTTTAAAGGAAAAGGTTTATTTAAAAGGCATAGTGGGCCGGTGCCACGGCTCACTAGACTAATCCTCCACCTGTGGCACCAGCACCACAGGTTCTAGTCCAGGTCAGGGCACTGGATTCTGTCCCAGTTGCCCCTCTTCCAGTCCAGCTCTCTGCTGTGGCCCGGGAGTGCAGTGGAGGATGGCCAAGATCTTTGGGCCCTGCACCTGCATGGGAGACCAGGAGAAAGCTCCTGGCTTCAGATCAGCGAAGCACTCCAGCCTCAATGGGATGGCCGTAGCGGCCGTTTGGGGGGTGAACCAAAGGAAAAAGGAAGACCTTTCTCTTTGTCTCTCTCTCTCTCTCTCTCACTGTCCAACTCTGCCTGTCAAAAATAAAAATAAAAAAAAAAGAAAGAAAAAAATAAAAGAAAAGGCACAGTGACAAAGAAGGAGAGATCTTCCATGTGCTGGTTCATTCCACAAAGGACTACAACAGCCAGGGCTGGACAAGGCTGAAACCAGGAGCCAGGAACTCCACCCTAGTCTCCCATGTGGTGTCAGGGACCCAAGCATTTGGGCATCTGCCACTGCTTTCCCAGGTGCATGAGCAGGGAACTGGATGGGAAAGTGGAGCAGCTGGGACTTGAACTAGCATTCTGATATGGGATGCTGGCCTCACAGGCTCCTGCTTAACCCACGGCACAATGCCAGCCTGGACTTTTGACTTTAAACTGTAGGCAATAGGAAGCCATGAGGGTTTTTTTGCCCCTAAGTGGACTACAATGCAATCCATTCAGATTAACCTGTTAACCAAGTTCTATCAGAATGGATAGGAAATGGTAGACTAACCACATGGAGTGAGGTGAGTCTGGAATGATGGTGGCAACATCTGGAGGGGAAGAGAGTGTTGAGAGGAAACAGAACAAGTATGGTAGAACAACCGGATCGGAAGAGGAACTCGGGGATTCTTAATTTTGAATTGAGTGTTTAACCCACAGGCTCAGCTTTCGTTCAGGGTGGATAAGGAGAAAACTTCCCGACAACGAGTTGCACCTGAATGTGTTTTAGGCCTAAGTGATCTTTTCTGCTAGGCCAATATTCTCTCCAGCTGCTGGCTGGGTGGAGTAGCTGGCTTATGCTCAGGGAGGCCCTCTAGTGGTGAGAAGCAACTCATGTTGATTCTACAGCTCTACACATTTATATTCAGATATAAATATAGTCTATTTGTAGAACTTATGTAACTGAAGAAAAAATAAAAATTGGAGTTGGATTGAATGTTGGACTCCTGGCTTTGGCCTGGGCCAGCCCCAGTTGTTGCAGACATTCAGAGAGTGGACCAGCAGACGGGAGATCTCTGTCTTTGTCTCTGGCTTTGCATTTCAAATAAACTGAAGACAATCTTTTTTTTTTTTTAATTAATTAAAAACTGGTCACAATCTATTGTGTTTGACTAAAGCTTAGAAGGTGACACCTTGGGCCAGCGCTGTGGCATAGCGGGTAAAGCTGCTGCTTTCAATGCCAACATCCCATATGGGCGCTGGGTTCAAGTCCTGGCTGCTCCACTTCCGATCCAGCTCTCTGCTATGGCCTGGGAAAGCATCAGAGAATGGTCCGAGGGCTTAGGCCCCTGCGCCCACATGGGAGACCTGGAAGAATCTCCTGGCTCATGGCTTTTGATCGGCCCGGCTGTGGCCGTTTTGGCCATATGGGGAGTGAACCAGAGGATGGAAGCTTCTCTCTCTCTCCCTTTCTCTCTCTAACTCTACCTTTCAAATAAATAAATCTTTAAAAAAAATGTTTAAAAGGTGACACTTCCCTACCCGAATATCATGGATCGTGTTTCCCCCAGGGATAATGTCATTCATTCAGTTCTTGTCCATTTGTTTGGGGTGAATACTTGTAGCTGTGTGGTTTTGTTTTTTTTTTTTTTAAAGATTTATTTATTTCACTTGAAAGTCACAGTTACACAGAGAGAGGAGAGGCAGAGAGAGAGGTCTTCCATCTGCTGGCTCACTCCCCAGATGGCCGCAATAGTCGGAGCTGCACCAATCCGAAGCCAGGAGCCAGGAGCTTCTTCCAGTTCCCCCACACCAGTGCAGGGGCCCAAGGACTTGGGCCATCTTCTACTGCTTTCCCAGGCCATAGCTGAGAACTGGATCGGAAGTGGAGCAGCTGGGTCTCGAACCGGCGTCCATATGGGATGCCAACACTGTAGGCAGTGGCTTTACCCGCTACACCACAGCGCCGGCCCCGTAACTGTGTTTTTAAAAATATGATTTTTAAAAGATTATTTATTCGAAAAGTAGAGTTACAGAGAGAGAGAGGAAAAGATCTTCCATCTGCTGGTTCACTCCGCAAATGGTCACATAGCCTGGGCGGGGCCAGGCTGAAGCCAGGAGACTAGAACTCCATCCAGGTCTCACATGGGGCAGGGACCAAAGCACTTGGTTCATCACCTGCTGCCTCCCAGGTTGCATGCTGGTAGGAAGCTGGATTGGGAGCAGAGCTGGGCTGGAATCTGGGCACTCCGATAGGTAATGCTGACATGTACTGAAGACCTGCCCCAAGCTCCAACACTTTTTACAGAGAAATTGAAAAGGATGCAGATTATAGTGAGCATAATAATGGAACTGGGACAATAAGGTCCTAAAAGATTGCTTTGATTCCACTGGGAGGAGGGAAAACTTACGATTTCCTCAAATAGAAAAAGTGCCCTCTTATGACTATGTCAAACTTTTCAGTTAAGAGCTATGTGAAGGGGTGGTCATTTAGTGCCTCAGTTAAGACACTTGGGCTGGGGCCAGCGTCGTGGCCTAACCCACTATGCCAAGACACCGGCCACTACTAATAACTTATTTTAAAAACAGATTTATTTATTTATTCGAAAGTCCGAGTTACACAGAGAGAAGGAGAGGCAGAGAGAGAAAGAGAGGATAGAGAGGTCTTCCATCCACTGGTTTACTCTCTAGTTGGCCACAATGGCCAGAGCTGTGCTGATCCGAAGCCAGGAGCCAGGAGCTTCTTCCAGGTCTCCCATGTGGGTTCAGGGGCCCAAGTACTCGGGCCATCTTCCACTGCTTTCCCAGGCCATAGCAGAGAGCTGGACTCAAATCGACGGCGCCCATATGGGATGCCGGCGCTGCAGGCGGCAGCTTTACCCGCTATGCCACAGCGCTGACCCCCACTAATAACTTCTGAATGTGTTTGTTAAAGCTTTACCAACACCTCATCAGTGTCAATGGCATTCATCTCATCAGTCTCTGTGTTGTAGCCATGCCTGATCCGACCCTTCTTCCCTCTTCCTCCTCAAGATAGAGACTGGGGCTTCCCAGTTTCCTTGAGAAAGACAGAGATAGGGGGCCAGTGCCTTGGCACAATAGGTTAATCCTCCGCCTGCAGCACTGGCATCCCATATGGGTGCCGGTTCGTGTCCCGGCTGCTCCTCTTCCAATCCAGCTCTCTGCTATGGCCTGGGAAAGCAGAAGAAGACAGTCCAAGTCCTTGGGCCCCTGTACCCGTGTGGGTGACTGGAAGAGGCTCCTGGCTCTTGGCTTCGGATCGGCGCAGCTCCAGCCATTGAGGCCATTTGGAGAATGAACCAGTTAACGGAAGACCTTTCTCTCTCTCTCGCTCTGCCTGTAACTCTACCTCTCAAATAAATAAATAAAATATTTAAAAAAATAAATAGGTACTTATTTTAAACAAAAAGAGAGAGAAAGGTAGACAAAGAGACTGAGAGGATGAGCTAATCCAAAGTATTTTTGAATGTTGATCAATAGAGTAGCTTATTGGTGTAAGGCTCTGTACTGGGCTCAGGGATTGCAAAGATTAAGACATGTTTACTGCTCTTGATTAAATGGTACAAACAGATAATGAAAATAAATTCAATTGGCTGATATAAGGGCTTGTAGTAGAAGAACCAAGTGCTATGGGGGAGGGGAATCTGGATTATCCTGTCATTTTTTTTTAAGATTTATTTTATTTATTTGAAAGAGTTACAGAGAGAGCTAGAAACAGAGAGAGAGGTCTTCCATCCGATGGTTCACTCCCCAGATGGCCGCAAAGGCTGGAGCTGAGCTGATCCGAAGCCAGGTGCCAGGTGCTTCTTCCTGGCCTCCCATGTGGGTACAGGGGCCCAAGGACTTGGGTCATCTTCTACTGCTTTCCCAGGCCATAGCAGAGAGCTGGATCGGAAGAGGAGCAGCCGGGACTAGAACTGGCGCCCATATGGGATGCCAGCGCCTCAGGCCAGGAGCTTTAACCCGCTGCGCCACAGCGCCAGCCCCTCCTGTCACTTTTTTTAAATGGCGATGCTGGAACAGACATCCACCTGGGGTTGGCGCTGTGGCGTAGCAGGTGAAGCCAGGGCCTGCAGAGCACCTGTTGGAGTCCCAGCTGCTCCACTTCGTATCCAGTTCTCTGCTGTGACCTGGGAAAGCAGTGGAAGATGGCCCTAGTCCTTGGGCCCCTGCACCCGTACGGGAGACCCGGAAGAGGCTCCTGATTCCTGGCTCCTGGCTCCTGGCTCCTGGCTCAGATCGGCTCAGCTCCGGCCTGTTGCAGCCAATTGGGGAGTGAACCAGCATATGGAAGACCACTCTCTCTACTTCTGCCTCTCTGTAACTCTGCCTTTAAATTAAAAAAAAAAATCTTAAAAAGAAAAAAAAGACATATCCACAGCTTCTCTGAGATCCTTCCAGCGGTGACGCCCCCACCCTGGGAACCGAAAGTGCAAGGAAGGTGGAGGCGGGCCCTCGTCCTAGGGTTGCCGCGGTAACCGTCTCCACTCCTGCCCCGCCCACGGCAACGTCGCTTTTATTTTGGCTGCGCCTACAACTCCCAGAAGGCAATGGGGGTTGGAGGCGGAACTAGCTCGAAGCGCCGAGATCTGTGATTGGTGACGAGCGTAGGTCCAATTGGAGGAGCTGTTGTTACACAGTCGGCGAGCCGGTCGGGGAGGGAGGAAGGTGGCAAGATGGTGTTGGAAAGCACTATGGTTTGGTGAGGAACTACCTCGGGACCCGTAGGGACGGGTCTGGGTCTGGGTCTGCTGGGAGCGCGTGTTGCACCGAGGCCGGCGGGCCTGGGGTGGGGGCGGGGGACTGATGGACGGGATGCAGCCCGAAGCTCGGAGGGAGGGAGTTCTGTGGACTTCCTGAGTCATCCCTGGGCCGAGAGAGGACAGGCCCGGGAACCCGCTCCAAGCCGGACCAGCGGGGCCCTGCTGCCTCTCTCTACTCCCGCGTCGTCCTCTGTAGGCCAGCCCCAGGTCTGTTGTTCACCGGAGTCCTGCTTCTCAGACTTCTGTCTTCCTGTCCTCCTCTCAAAATAGTGGGTATTGGAGGAGAGATTGTCAGTTGCCTCAGCTCTGGCTCCCCTGCCTTCCTTGTATCGTCTCCGTTTGTAGATTGCTTCCTATGCGCCAGGCATTTTTGCTTGTTTACTTTATGTCGCTTAAGCCTCACAGCGTCACTTGGAGGTAAATACACCTGCATTTTGGAAGGATACTGAGGCTCAGCGATTTTGCGTGACTTGCCCGAAATCCTGCAGCTTAAGTGATGGAGACAAGATGTAACCCCCGGGCTACCTGAAATAAAGGCTCTTAACCAGAGACCAGCTTTCTTCAGTCCCAGCCCTAGGCTGAGCAGCTAGTAAGAGTCTACTTAGAAACGGAGACCATGCACGTGTGCAGCAATTCCAGGGTTCCTTCTAGGTGCGAATGCAGAGTAGCACATGAACCCAGCAGAAGTCGTGAGTTGGGTGGGACATACCTGAGAGCCTTATTCCTTTTTTTAAAAGATTTGTTTATTTATTTGAAAGGCAGAGTTAGAGAGAGAGAGAGGAAGCAGGAGAGAGAGAGAGAGAGGTCATCCATCTGCTGGTTCACTCCCCAAATGGCTGCAACAACCAGGGTGAGCCAGGCCGAGGCCAGGAGCCAGGTCTCTCACGTGGGTGGCAGGGGCCCAGGTACTCCTCTGCTGCCTTTCCCAGGCCATTAGCAGGGAGCTGGATCTGAAGTGGAGCAGTCAGAACTCGAACTGGCATCGCAGACAGCAGCTTTACCTGCTACACCAAGCGCCGGCCCCAGCAATAACTTTTTGTATAAAAAAGGACTGTGAATGTATATGTATACTAAAAAGCTTGTTTATGTGAAACTCAGATTTAAGTGGGAATCCTGTGTTTTTGTTTGCTAATTCTGGCAACCTCTGGAAGCAAGCATGTCTTAATAGAAAGAGAACAGAATTTGGAAAAACACAAAAACCTGTTTTCTTTTTTTAAGGATTTATTTTATTTTATTTTTTTATTTATTTGAAAGGCAGAGTTCAGAGAGGTGGGAGGGAAGGGTCTTCAATCTACTGGTTCACTCCCCAGATGGCTGCAACAGCTGGAGCTGGGCTGATCTGAAGCCAGGAGCCAGGAGCTTCTTCCAGGTCTCCCACGGGGGTGCAAGGGCCCAAGCGGGATAGGAAGTGGAGAAGCCAGGACTTGAAATCTCTCACTTTTTTTTTCTATAAAATTGGAACAAGAGTGACATCTACCTGTCCTATAGCATAGCTGATAAAACATGCGTCATGGTCTCTAAACTGGAGCACTGTGTGAGTGTTAGTTACCATGGAACTTAGGGGATCCCTAAGATAAGTACGCGGGGCCTTAGACATGATGAGAAGGGGTAGGGGGACGGGCACCTACAGAGTCGCTGAAGTGCAGACAGGTAACATGTTAGTGAATGGGAAGTAGATAGTGTGATTCAAAGGTTTTTCCGTTATTTTTTATTTTTTTGGAAACTTAGATGAGCTCAGTTGAAGATCATGAATGCCAAGCCGAGGAGCTTGAACTCTGTCCGGCACCTCTGTTTAGAGGAATATTGACAAAGTCCTACGGGTGGTGGAGACAGAGCTGAATTCAAGTGGTATTTAAGGGCGGGCGTGTGGTGTGGCATCTGAGACTTCACTTGGGACTCCCACACCCCAGGAGTGCCTGGGTTTAAGTCCTGGTCGCTTCGTGCTGATGTGCACAGCCTGGGAGGCAGCAGGTGATGGCTCCGGTACTTGGGCCTCTGCCACGCACAGGAGAGTTTCTGGTTCTTGGCTTTGGCCTGGCCCAGTCCTGGCTTTTGTGGGTATTTGGGGAGTGGACCAGCAGGTGGGAGATCTGTCCTTCAAATAAATTAAATAAATAAGTAGATAAATGACGATTTAGAAAATGACACCTCAAACAATTTTTTTGATTGATTGATTTGAAAGGCAGTTACAGAGAGAGGGAGAGAAAGAGAGACAGAGGTTTTCTATCCTCTGATTCACTCCCTAAATGACTGCAACAGCTGGGGCTGGGCCAGGCCAAAGCCAGGAGCCTGGAACTCCAGCTGGGTCTCCCTCAGGCCTGAAAGGGACCCAAGCACTTGGGCCATCTTCCACTTTTCCTCAGGCACGTTAGCAGGGAGCTGGATCAGAAGTGGAGCAGCTGGGACTCGAACCAGCGCCCATATGGGATGCTGGCATCCTGGGTGGCAGTTTACCTGCTGTGCTACAACACCGGTCCCTTAAAAATATTGTAAAATGTTTATTCATTATTTTTATCTATTTGAAAGGCAGAGCAACAGGAAGAGATGGGGGTGGGGAGCAGCGTTGTACAGCAGGTATGAAAGTTCCGTTTTGGCCGGCGCCGCGGCTCACTGGGCTAATCCTCCGCCTTGCGGCGCTGGCACACCCGGTTCTAGTCCCGGTTGGGGCACCGGATTCTGTCCTGGTTGCCCCTCTTCCAGGCCAGCTCTCTGCTGTGGCCAGGGAGTGCAGTGGAGGATGGCCCAGGTGCTTGGGCCCTGCACTCCATGGGAGACCAGGAGAAGTACCTGGCTCCTGCCATCGGATCAGCGCTGTGTGCCAGCCGCAGCGCGCCACCTGCGGCAGCCATTGGAGGGTGAACCAACGGCAAAAGGAAGACCTTTCTCCCTGTCTCTCTCTCTCACTGTCCACTCTGCCTGTCAAAAAAAAAAAAAAAAAAAAAGAAAGTTCCGTTTTGAGTCCTGGCTGTTCTTCCAAACCGGCTTCCAGCTTCCTGCTAAGGCACTGGAAAGATGGGGAAGATGGCCTGAGTGGCTGTGCCCCCTCCGGGCCTTTGGGGGGCCCATTATGGAAATTCCTGGCTCCTGGCTTTAACCGGGGAGGGAATCAACTGGCAGAAACACTATCCCGGGGGCTCTCCCCTTCTCCCCATGACTTGCTTTTTAAAATGGCTGGGAGGCTTATAAAATAAAACCCCTGCTCTTTTGCTTTATTTTTGACAGGCCGACTGGGCCAGGGGAGAGAGAGAGGAGACAGAGAGAAAGGTCTTCCTTTGCCGTTGGTTCACCCTCCAATGGCCGCCACGGGCGGCGCGGCTGCGGCCGGCGCACTGCGCTGATCCGATGGCAGGAGCCAGGAGCCAGGTGCTTTTCCTGGTCTCCCATGGGGTGCAGGGCCCAAGCACCTGGGCCATCCTCCACCGCACTCCCTGGCCACAGCAGAGAGCTGGCCTGGAAGAGGGGCAACCGGGACAGAATCCGGCGCCCCAACCGGGACTAGAACCTGGTGTGCCGGCGCTGTAAGGCGGAGGATTAGCCTAGTGAGCCGTGGCGCCGGCGAGTAAATTCATCTTTAAGAAGAAAGAAAAGAGATAGAGATACAGATGTCCCACCTGCTGGTTCACTTCTCAGATGCCTGCAGCATCTGGGTCTGGGCCAGGCTGAAGTCAGCAGCCCAGAACTCGGTCTGAGTCTCCCACAGGGTGGCAGGAGCCCCAACGCTGGAGCTGTTGCCTGCTTGCTCTCTGATGGTGCGTTAGCAAGAGGCAGAAGGCAGAGCTAGACTCAAACCCGGGCTCTTCAACATGGAATGTAGCCATCCCACGCAGCCTCTTAACAGCTGCGCCAAACATCTGCCTTCCACCAGCTCTTTGAAGTGTGGGAAGCACGGGATCTGTCTTTGCCAGTGCCAACACTGCCCCCCAGTGGTTCTGATGTGAAAAAGTGGGACAGTTGCCTGATTCCCTGTCACATCTCCCTGTTCTTACCTGCCCCCACCCCGTTTTTTTTCTTAAAGAATTTTTTTCTTTCTTTATTTGAAAGGCAGCGCTACAGAGAAAGAGAGAAGGAAAATCAGAGAGGTTGATCTTCCATCCACGGATACACTCCCCAAATGGCTGCCTCGGCTGTAGCTAGTTCTAGCCTAAGCCAGAAGGCAGGAACTCCATCCAGGTCTCCCACGTGGGTGCACGGGCCACGCACTTGAGCCATCTTCCGATGCTTTCCCAGGTGCATTAGCAGGGAGCTGGATTGAAGCAAATTAGCCAGGACTGGAAGTGGTACTCCAGTATGGGATGGTGACATGGCCAGCAGTGGCTGCTCCCCACCCCCACTGTTTTTGAAGGTTTATTTACTTATTAAAAGGCAGGCAAAGAGAGAGACAGATCTTCCATCTGGTGCTTCACTCCCCAAATGGCCGCAACGGCTCAGGCTGGGCCAGCAGGAAGCCAGGAGCCAAGAACTCCATCCAGATCTCCCACAGGGATGGCAAGGATCCAAGCAGTTGGGCCATCTTCTGTTGCCTTCCTAGGTGTATTAGCAGGGAGCTGGACCAGAAGTAGAACAGCCAGAACTCCAACTAGCACTCAGCGTGGCAGCCGTGGCTTAACCCACACCACAAAGGCAGCCCCTCAGGCCCCCTTTTTTACTCTGATATTTTGTCCCCGCTCTATCCACCTGCTGATCTCTCCCACAATCCTTATACTTCGTGGTGATTCTCTCTGGGCTGTGCTCAAAGTCTCTGGTTTTCTGTGGTTGGACTGGCTGCTCTATTTGAAGCTAGAGGCAGTTTCTTCCCTGCTGGGAGGATATTTGGGTACACTGTGTGGGGAAGATGATAGATTGCATAGTCAGAGAGTTGGCCCTTGACCTCCTTTACACAGAGTGTGTGAGGTTTCTGACTGAGCTTCTATAAAAACTAGTCCGCTCCATGCTTACTAAATGTCAGTACTGTGCATTTACTCTTCACAGCAACCCTGGAGTCTGTTTATGTTCTACAGATGAGGCAGCTGAACCTTGGAAAAATTAAGCAATTTAGGATCGTAGAATTAGTAAATAGAATAAGGGTTTGGATACTACCCTGTATTCCCTTTTCTGTTTATTTTCCAGGAGCTTCTTAATTACCTCTGTACTGTTTTTGATTTGTATTTATTGCTAGACAAAACACACTAAAGAAGAAAACCCTAAGCTGGTTTTCTTTTTTTTTGAGAAGCAGAGACAGACAGACTGGTGGATAGACAGAGACCAGAAACAGCTTCTGTCCACTGGCTCACTCCGCAGATGCCCGCTATGGCCAGGGCTGGGGCAGGCTGAAGCTGGGCACTGGAAACTTAATGCGTCTCCCCCCTGTGAGTGGCAGGGACCCCAGTACTTGAATCATCACCTGCTGTCTCCCAGAGTGAGCATGAGAAGGGAGCTGGAATTGTGAGCAGGGCCGGGACTTGAACTGCGGCGTTCCAGAGTGGGGTGCGTCTGTCTTCGCCGGGCCAGCTGCCCGCCCCGTCTAACCTGTGTTTACCTGCTGGTAGAGAGGAGGCGGCTCGTCCAGGTCTCTGCCTCTTCCATGAGCGTGGGAACAGTCATTGACGATCGGAGCTCCCAGGGACCTTGGGCGTCATCCGCAGGGCTTACACAGCCGCTTCGCTTAACCTGCCTTCCTCTGGTCTGTGGGGAGCAATAGCCTGTACTTCATGCTGTCTGGATTCTTTTACAGTGAGAGAGGTTGCATAGAAGAGGTGAGACCCCAAGTCCATGAAACCTCACTTCTGCATTTCAGTCCTACTGCCAAAGATTCCCAGGGTCTGCGTTAGCTGGAAGCGGGAGTCAGGAGCCAGAGGCGAGCATTGAACCCAGACATTCCAATTCGGGATATGGGCCTTTTACATATATATATATATATATATATATATATATATATATTTTAGATATATAATTGATTGGAGATGGTGGTGTGGCAGGTTGAGCTGCCACCTGCAGTGCCCACATCCCGTATGGGTACCGATTTGAGTCTCAGCTGCTCCACTTTGGGCCTAGCTCCCTGCTAATGTGTCTGGGAAAGCAGCAGAGTGCTTGGGCCCTGGCACTCATGTGGGAGACCGGAATGAAGCTCCTGGCTCCTGGCTTTGCCTGGCCCAGTCCTGGCTGTGTGACCATTTCAAGAGTGAACCAGTGAATGGAAGATCTCTTTCTGTATCTCCTTCTCTCTCCCCATAAATCTGCTTTTCAAATAAACCTTTAAAAAAAAAAGTTTATGTATTTTATTTGGAAGGCAGAGTTAGAGAAAGAGATGAAGATTGATTGCTCTATCTTCCATTGCTGGTTCAATCCCCAAATGGCTCTAATGGCCAGGTGTGGTCTAAGCCGAAATCAGTAGCCTGGAACTCCCTCTGGGTCTCCACATGGGTTGCAGGGGTCCAAGCACTTGGGCCATCTTCCGTTGCTTTCCCAGGTGCATTAGCAGGAAGCTGTATCAGAAACTGAGCAACTGGAACCCCAGCCGGCACTCATGGGATACCTGTCACAGGCGGCAGCTTAACCCACTGCACCACAACGCAGCCCCCTAACTGGCCTCTTAACCACTGGGCCAAATACCCATCCCTATAGAAGTGTTTTAAATTACTTTCTTCATTCCCCACATTTGGAATGTTCCCCATGGAATGTGCATCCTTGGCTTATTAAACTTATTAAGCTTCCTTACACTTAATAAACACAGCTTATAAGAAAGTGCACGTGGGATATCAGTAGACCAAATCTGATCAGAATGATTTGTGGAAATTTTAAAAAATTTTCCCTCCTCTGGTCATTTTGAGTCACATGCCTGGTAAAGCTTGGTCTGTGTTTTATTTAAAGAAAAACTGCAGGGGCCGGAACTGTGGCATAGTGGGTAAAGCTGCTGCCTGCAGTGCCAGCATCCCATATGGGCACCAGTTTGAGTCCCAGCTGCTCCACTTCCGATCCAGCTCTCTGCTATGGTCTGGGAAAGCAGTAGAAGATGGCCTAAGTCCTTGGGCCCCTGCACCCACGTGGGAGACCTAGCAGAAGCTCCTGGATCCTGGCTTCGGATCGGTGCAAATCGGCCATTGCAGCCAATTGAGGAGTGAACCAGTGGATGGAAGACCTCTATCCTCTCTCTCTCTGCCTCTCCTTCTCTTCCTGTATAACTCTGACTTTCAAATAAATACATAAATCTTAAAAAAAAGAAAAAGAAAGAAAGAAAGAAAGAAAGAAAGAAAGAAAGAAAGAAAGAAAGAAAGAAAGAAAGAAAGAGAAAGAAAGAAAGAAAAGAAACTGCTGTGATTGTAAGTTCCCCAAAGTCTGAAAACTGCCGCTGTGAGGGGTGGAGTGGAGATCTCAGACGCCTGTAACTCTTCTCTTTCCTCCTCCCCTAATCTGACAGCGTGGACAACAGTGAGTATATGCGGAATGGGGACTTCCTGCCCACCCGGCTGCAGGCCCAGCAGGACGCCGTCAACATAGTGTGTCACTCAAAGACCCGCAGCAACCCTGAGAACAACGTGGGCCTCATCACGCTGGCCAAGTACGTGGGACGGAGGAGGTGGGGGGTGGGCAGTGGTTTTCCCACGGGTGACCCGCTGTTACGAGTTGCCTGTCCCACCAGGAAGTGGCTCACCTTTCACAGAGTCCCTGAAACTGCTTTTGCCCATCACTTTCCTAAGAACGTCCTTCACTAGTCAGTATAAATAACGCTTGTTTTTAGTAGTGACTCGAATTTCATATAGTTAGAAAGCTAAATCTCAGGATGAAATTTCGCAGGAAAGTACGTACAACAAGATATGTATGTCTGTAAAGATTTATTTATTTGAAAGGCAGAGTGATAGAAGACAAGACAGAACGATCTTCCATCTACTGGTTCACTCCTCAAATGCCAGGAACTCTATCCGTGTCTCCCGAGTGGGTGGCAGGGACTCAAGCACTTGGATCTACATCTGCTGCCTTTCAGGGGTATTAGCAGGAAGCTGGATGGGGAACAGAGTAGCCAGGACACAGGGCATGCACTCTGATGTGGGCGTGTGTCCTGAGTGGCAGCTTACTCGCTATGCCCCAGTGTATCACAAAGTCCGGGAAACGTGATTTTGGATGATAGCCCCTGATCCGCACATCTTGTTACCCCCGAAATGATTTGTTTTAGGAACTGCAGATCCTCATGTGAGAACCTCTCTGGGCGTTTGTGCACAAACAGGTAGAAGATGGTCTGGAAAGATAGAAAGCAGCCCTGAGAGAGAGAAGAGGAGCTGGGGACAACACTTGGAGGTGGAGCACAGGGTTCCTAAAGTCACGTACCTCTTCTGTAGCTGGGGTCCACTAAGCACAGGTGTTTGGTTAAGGAGAACAGAGATTAGTTCCTTCCAGGGTTTCTAAGGAAAGGGTAAGCCAGGGTGTGGCCTTTGGTGCAGTGGTTAGGATGCTGCTTGGGACACTGGCATCCCCATCAGCGTGCGTCAGCTCAGGTCCCAGCTCTGCTGTCCGTTCCAGCTCCCTGCTAATGCACCCCCTAGGAGGCAGCAGGTGATGGCTCAAGTTGTTGGGTCCCCGCCACCCGTGTGGGAGACTGGGTTTGAGCTCCTGGCTCCTAGTTTTGGTCTGGCCCAGCCCTGCTGTGGTTGGCCCTTGGGGAGTGAACCAGCAAATGGGAGGTCTGCCTGCCTTTCAAATAAATAAATAAAACTGAAAAAACGAAACCTAAGTCAGCCACAGTTTGGAGGCAGCTGCATCCCCCTGAAGCACTTTGCCCACATCCTAGTGACTGTGAAGTGCTGACCACGCTCACCCCCGACACCGGCCGCATCCTCTCCAAGCTCCATACTGTGCAGCCCAAGGGCAAGATCACCTTCTGCACTGGCATCCGCGTGGCCCACGTGAGTCCTGACGGGTCCCCTCGATGCTTCCTCCCTGCTCTGAGTTCTTCCAACATCACTCATTTCTCCCCGAGACTCTTCAGCTAGAACCAGAGCAGGGGGAGAGGGAGGGCCGAGACAGAGCTAACTTGGGTTGGGAAGGACGTGGTGGTGTGCGTGCCAGCATCATGGAGACGCTGGAGGAGAAAGTCTCTGGCCCTGAGGCACCCCACCACCCCACCCGCAGAGAGGCACAGCAGGCAGGGTGGGAGTGGGTGGCGGCTGGGTCTTGTGTGAGCACGAAGGTCGACTTGGAGTGCATTGAGACGGTAAGAGAACAGGGCCCAGAGTGACACAGGAAAGAGCTGGGCGAGTGCCTGGGCTGACTCAGAGCTTCCTCTTCCTTCACAAGCTGGCTCTGAAGCACCGACAGGGCAAGAATCACAAGATGCGCATCATCGCCTTCGTGGGGAGCCCTGTGGAGGACAACGAAAAGGATGTGAGTCCAAGGGGGAGCCGCCTGTGCGTGGGGGCGAGCTCTGCCAGCCTGCAGCCCAGCCTGGCAGACGCGCTGGACTCAGCGGTCTGGGGGGAAGTGGACGTGCAGGACCTGCGTTTCTGCCGGGGAACTTCGGGGCGGTCCCCATGTTTCTGCGTGCTTTGATGAGGCAGTGCTTCCCTGCCCAGCATGGAACAGATTTCTTGATCTCTCTCCTTCTTCCCAGCTGGTGAAACTCGCTAAACGCCTCAAGAAGGAGAAAGTAAATGTTGACATCATCAATTTTGGGGAAGAGGTGAGTAGGGCCTTGAGGGGCCGTTGGCTTGACTTGGTGGTTACAAACCAGATAGCCCTTAGCCTAAGGAGTGCTGCCCTGGGGGGGAGTAGCTGTGGGCGAGCAGAAAGTGCGGGGCGAGGCCTCAGAGGGCGTCCTGTGTTCTTCCCTCCCCAGGAAGTGAACACAGAAAAGCTGACAGCCTTTGTAAACACCCTGAACGGCAAAGATGGAACTGGCTCCCACCTGGTGACAGTGCCCCCCGGGCCCAGCTTGGCTGATGCCCTCATCAGCTCCCCGATTCTGGCTGGTGAAGGTGGCGCCATGCTGGGTCTTGGTGCCAGTGACTTCGAGTTTGGAGTGGATCCCAGTGCCGATCCTGAGCTGGCCCTGGTGAGCCAGGGTCGACCCCAGCTGGAGCCCCCCTACAGACCAGCACCCCCTAGTGCTGCAGCCCCAAACACTGCCGTCACCCTTGGTCCTTCCCCAGTGCCCCCACTCGCACTACCCCCTCCCGTCGTTCTGTCTCGTCTCTGTTGGACTCTTCCGTGTTCCCATCTCCTGATCAGACCCCAGGCCACACCACCTGTTAGCCCTGCAGCTTTTCCCACGTGCAGAAGCTGCCCCCCTGTGCGCCCTTTCTGCCCTCAGCTGACTCCCCCCGCCAGCCCCCAGCAGGAGCGAGGCTGGGGGAAAATCGGACTTTGTCCTGCCCTTCTCCAGGCTCTGCGGGTCTCTATGGAAGAGCAGCGGCAGCGGCAGGAGGAGGAGGCACGGCGGGCCGCGGCAGCCTCCGCCGCTGAGGCTGGGATTCCCACAGCGGGGGCTGAAGGTGAAAGAGGTGGAATCTGACGTCCCTGGCCTGAGGGTGCTCAAGAGCGGGAGCCGGGGGGAGACCCTGCAGAGTGTGGTGTAGGGGTGGCGGGGAGAGGAGGAGGGGCGGAGGGCCGGCCTGGAGCGGTGGCTTTGTAGCGGGTCGGCGGGATGCAGCCCCAGGTCCATTCAGCGCCTCTTCCCTGCCTAGATTCGGACGACGCCCTGCTGAAGATGACCATCAGCCAGCAGGAGTTCAGCCGCTCCGGGCTCCCCGACCTGAGCAGCATGACCGAGGAAGAGCAGATCGCCTACGCCATGCAGATGTCCCTGCAGGGCGCCGGTGAGCAGGGCGCCGGGGCGGTGCTGTGGCCGGGGTCGGGAAGCGCCACTGAGCAGGCTGCTCTCTCGTCCTCAGAGTTTGGCCAGGCAGAGTCAGCAGACATCGATGCCAGCTCAGCCATGGACACATCGGAGCCAGCCAAGGTGAGCGCCGGCCCTGACCGGTGCGGGACCCCCGTGTGTTCAGGTCCTCAGGCCTCTCGGGTGAGGACCGTTCCTCCTCCAGGGTTTCGTAGATGAGAACTTTGAGGAGCAGAAGGCAACACGTGTAAACCTTGCTGAGGCCACGGTGCGCTGCTAGTCAGTTGCAGAAGTGCCCCGGTCTTCCAGATTCTCCGTCCTTGCTGACGGGAGGACTCCGGACAGGTCTCTGGGTCATCATCTTCCCAGGAGGGTGGAAAGAGGGTCTGGGAAAAAAGACAAAGGAGCCGGGCTGTGGGACCGCAGGCGTCTGTTTTTCCCACTGAGCTCCGTTAGCAAAGCTCTCCGACTTCTCTGCTTGCACAGTAGCAAGCCGGCATTTGCATTCGTGCCCACCTCGTGTGATGGCACTGCGTGCTTTCCTGCCATGTGCTTTGCTTCTCTTGGCCAGCGGTGCCCCGGGCCTCATCGACAGGAGGAAGCAGGGCTGAGGCGGGAGCGTGCTGCTGTCCCCTGCCCCCGCCTGCCCCTGCCCTGTCCCGAGCCATCACTGCCTTCTTTTCAGGAGGAGGATGATTACGACGTGATGCAGGACCCCGAGTTCCTTCAGAGTGTTCTAGAGAACCTTCCTGGTGTGGATCCCAACAACGAAGCCATTCGAAATGCCATGGGCTCCCTGGCCTCCCAGGCCACCAAGGATGGCAAGAAAGACAAGAAGGAGGAGGACAAGAAGTGAGACTGAGGGCAGGGGTGGCCGACTGCCTGGGACGTGGGATGTAGGGCTAGGGAGACGTCTGTAACCATTACACCCTAAATAAAGCTTGGTAAATTTTTTCTTTTTTGCGTCAAATAGTGGTAACTTTGAGTTAAGAAGGGAGAGTGCACAGCCTCACTTTCTCACCGAGGAAAACTTTGCTCAGAGCCTGCTTTGTGTTGGGCCTGGGGCCCCAGAAGGAAGTTGAAAGCCACGCTGGCCCTTGGGATCTGGGGAAGACCACAGAGTGTATGGAACAATTCTGCGGATACAGTTGGTGGGGGTGTGGTGGGGGAGCAGGGACGCAGCAGGTCAGCCCCTGCTTGGGTTGGGACCCATATTGGACTGCCAGTTTGAGTCCTGGCTCTTTAGCACTTCCAGTCCAGCTCCCTGCTAAGGTGTCTGGGAGGCAGCAGATAATGGCTCAAGGGCTTGGCTCTGACCACCCACAGGGAGACCTGGATGGAGTTCTGACTTGCGAGCATTTGGGAAGTGAACCAGTATATGGAAGATACCTCCCTCTCTGTCACTGTCTCTCAAATAGATGAAAATATATTTTAAAAAAAGAGAAGGAGAGAGGTGGGAACAAAGCACTGTGGGGACAGTGAGCAGAAAGAGCCAGACTGGCAGCGTCGGGAGGCTCCTGGGGGAACCATTGAGCGCCCTAGAGGGTGCGAGGTCGTCAGCAGGTGCAGAAGAGAAGAGAATGTCTCCAGTCACAGGAACAGGATGTACTGATGCAGGCGCAGGTCTCTGAGCAATTGACTTGCTCAGACCTCTGGGGCAGGAGAGGAAGATGGGAAAATGGGCAAAGATGAGGACCCTAAAGACCAGGAATCCTTTAGGCCTGACTTTTACAAGTGGGGTCTGAAACTGCAGACCATGGTGCATCTTGGGCCCGGGGTTGTGGTGGAGCGGGTAAAGCTGCTGCCGGCAATACAGGTATCCCATATGGACGCCGGTTCAAGACCTGGCTGCTCCACTTCCAATCAAGCTCCCTGCTAATGACCGGGGAGCAGCAACAGAAGATGGTGCAAGTGTCTGGACTCTTACACCTATGTAGGAGACCTGGAAGGATCTCTTGGTTCAGCTTGGCCCAACCCTGGCCTTTATGGCCATCTAGGAAGTAAACCAGTGGATAGAATCTCCCCCTCTCCCCATCCTTGGCCCAATCTCTGACTTTCAAATAAATAAATAAATAAATGTTTTTAAAACAAGATAGGCTGGTACTGTGGTGTAGTGTGCTAAGCCTCTGCCTGTAGCACTGGCATCCCATATGGGAGCCATTTCGAGTCCCAGCTGCTCCACTTCCTATCCAGCTCTGCTATGATTGCTATGGGAAAGCAGTAGAAGATGGCCCAGGTGCTTGGGTCCCTGCACCCATGTGGGAGACCTGGAGGAAGCTTCTGGTGCCTGGCTTCAGGTCAGCCCAGCTCTGACCATTGTGGCCATTTGGGGAGTGAACCAGCAGATGAAAGACTGACTGCTGTCTCCCATGCCGCCTCTCAAAGAAGTAAATAAAATCTTAAAAAACAAGAACACATGGTTTATCTTCCTGAAGCACCAAGCTTAAAGGAAGTGTTTCTTGTAGGTTAGAGAGTAGGGTGCAAAATTCACATAATGCTTCCCCTTGTCTATTGTCTCCCTTATTATATTTTTGGTGATTAATACTTGACATATGCAAGCAAAACATATATAGACAAGAAGTATAACAGCAAAATGAACATCCATGAAACCTTTCAGTTTAAGAGTCAGAATTATCACTGATGCCTTGCTGTATGCCATTGTCCTTGGTTTCCATAGGCAGTCAGTTTCGGGATGTTCAGGTTCCTTCTATGAAGTGTTGTCATGTTTGCATATAACCTACACACACACCCCCTGCATATGCCTTAAGTCATCTAGATTATTTATAATAGCTAATGCACGCAAGTACTGTGTGAATAGTTGTTATGTTATTTAGATGAGGAAAAGAAGTCTACGTGTTCAGTACGGACTCAGGTTTTTTTTCCTGTTTTCCTCTGATGGTTGGTTGAGCCCCTGCAGGCCTTCCTCACCTGAGGACACAGGGCTGACTGTATCTGGGTGTGCCTGGCTGAACCTACCTGTTGTGTCCTGTCCTCAGAGGTAGCCTTTCTGAATTTTGCATTTATCATTTCTGCTTTTCACTTTTTTTTTTTTTTTTTTTTTTTTTACCGGCAGAGTGGATAGTGAGAGAGAGAGACAGAGAGAAAGGGAGAGAAAGGTCTTCCTTTTTGCCGTTGGTTCACCCTCCAATGGCCGCCACGGCCGGTGCACCGCGCTGATCCGAAGGCAGGAGCCAGGTGCTTCTCCTGGTCTCCCATGGGGTGCAGGGCCCAAGCACTTGGGCCATCCTCCACTGCACTCCCTGGCCACAGCAGAGAGCTGGCCTGGAAGAGGGGCAACTGGGAAAGAATCCGGCGCCCTGACCAGGACTAGAACCCGGTGTGCCAGCGCTGCAAGGCGGAGGATTAGCCTAGTGAGCTGCAGCGCCGGCCCTGCTTTTCACTTTCATAATTTGCTCACATACCTGTTCCTGGCCAGGATGTGTTTAGTTTTGCTTGTTTTTGAGCTTTATAGAAAATAGTTGTGTGGCTACTGGCATTGTGACGCTGCAGGCTAAGCCAGTGCCTGATGCACACACCTGGGATCAACCAAGTTCTGCCTCCCTTTCCAATTCAGTTTCCTGCTAGTATGTGTGGCAACTGGGACTGATTCGGGTCCTTGGATCCCTGCTGCCCATATGGGAGATCCAGAGGGAGTTCCTGGATCCCAGCTTTGGCCCAGTCCAGCTGTTAGGGACATTTGAGGAGTGAACCTATGGACAGAAGAGCCCCCCCCACCACCACTCTGCCTTTCAAATAAATGAAGAAAGAAAAAAGAAAATCATTTTATGAAACTGTGAGACGTGTGAAATTCACATCTTTAAATTTTTAAAAAAATATTTATTTACTTGAAAGAGTAACAGACAGAAATACTTCTCCTGGTCTCCCATGGGGTGCAGGGCCCAAGCACTTGGGCCATCCTCCACTGCACTCCCTGGCCACAGCAGAGAGCTGGCCTGGAAGAGGGGCAACCGGGACAGAATCCGGTGCCCCGACCAGGACTAGAACCCGGTGTGCCGGCACCGCTAGGTGGAGGATTAGCCTAGTGAGCCGCAGCGCCGGCTCAGATTTTGTTTTTATGAATGTTGCAAAGTGTAAAATAAGTGCTAGTGTGGTGGTGCAGTCGGTTAAAGCCAACACTTGGACATTGGTATCCCATATCGGAGTGCTCATTTTATAGCCTCGATTGCTCTGCTTCCAACCCAGCTCCCTACTAATACGCCTGGGAAAGCAGTGGAGGATGGCCCAAGTGCTTGGATGAAGTTCCTGCCTCCTGGCTTCAGCCTGGCCCAGCCTTAACTAATACAACCATTTTGGGAGTGAACCAGTAAATGAAAGATCTCCTGGGGCCAGTGCTATGGCGCAGCAGGTGAGGCCACCACCTGCAGTGCCGGCATCCCATGTGGGCCTGTTCGAGTCCTGGCTGCTCCACTTCCGATCCAGCTCTCTGCTATGGCCTGGGAAAACAGTAGAAGAAGGCCCAAGCCCTTGGGCCCCTGCACCTACGAGGGAGACCCAGTTGAAGCTCCTGGCTCCTTGCTTCGGATCAGCACAGCTCCAGCCGTTGCGGCCAATTGGGGAGTGAACCAGCAGATGGAAGACCTCTCTCTCTGTCTCTCTGTCTGCCTCTCCTTCTCTCTCTGTGTAACTCTGGCTTTCAAGTAAAATAAATAAATCTTAAAAAGAAAAATAAAGATCTCTCTCTCTCTCTCTCTCTCTCTGCCTCTTCCTTTCCAATAAATACATAAATCTTTTTTTTAAAAGGCAGGGGCAGAGAGAGAGAGAGAATCTTCCATCTGCTGGTTCACACCCCAGATGGCTGCAATGGCTGGAGCTGAGCCAATCCGAAGCCAGGAGCCAGAAGATTCAACCAGGTCTTCCTTGCGATACAGGGGCCCAAGGACTTGGGCCATCTTCCACTGTTTTCCCAGGCCACAGCAGAGAGCTGGATCAGAAATGGAGCAGCTGTGACTTGAACAGGCACCCATATGAGATGCGGGCACTGGAGGCAGTGGCTTCATCTGCTACACCACAGTGCTGGACTCAAATAAATCTTTTTTTTTTTTAAAGTGTAAGATAGACTACCTTTCTTGTAGAGAAAGACATAAAAATCACTTATTTGTACTCACTGCATATTTCTTTTCATTTTTACTCTAATTTATATATATATATATATATTCAAGTTTTTGTATTTACATCGAAAGAGTTACAGAGAGGGAGAGGCAGAGAGAGAGAGAAAGAAAGAGAGAAAAAGAGGGAGAAATCTTCCATCTGCTGGTTCACTTTCAAAATGGCTGCAATGGCTGAAGCTGAGCCCATCCGGAGCCAGGAGCCAGGAGCTTCTTTCGGGTCTCCCATGCAGGTGCAGAGGCCTAAGCACTTGGGGCATCTTCTACTGCTTTCCCTGGCCACAGCAGAGAGCTGGATCGAAGTGAAGCAGCCAGGACTTGAACTGGCTACACCGCAGCGCCGTCCCCTTATATGGCTTTTAAAAAAAAATTATGTATTTATTATTTTAAAGGAAGGAAGAGAGAGACAGAGATCACCCATCAACTGGTTCACTCCCCATCTGCTGCAACAGCTGGGGCTGGGCCAGTCCCAAGCCGGAACCCCTGAATTCAGTCTGGGTCTCCCACATGAGTGGCAGAGACCCACGTACTTGAGCCATTGCCTGCTGCCTCCCAGGAAGCTGGAATGTAGAGTACATGTGGGACTCAAAACCCAGGCACTGCAATGGGGGATGAAGGTTTCCCAAGCAGCGTCTTAACCACTGTGCTACACACACACACACACACACACACACACACAGCTTTTTTATCTTTTTTTTTTTTTTAT